TAGCTGTTGAGAATGGTTTAGGAACGATTTGTGTTGTCTTTAAGTCACATCTTGTGGAGTTTTTGTCAGTAGTCATGTAAAGGTTTTGTTACTGGTTGATTTTAAGGTTATAGGTAGATGGATTCAAAAGGTTTCATGAACAATCCTGGGTTGGTTTCTAAATCTGCTGTAGCATTTCTGGAATATATGTGAAGGTTTTTGCCCCACAGTCTCTGCGACATTCTAGAATTTTATATTGGACTGAACAAGTTCACATTTTAGAGTAACTGTTTTATGTAGCCTAACCAGATTAGGAAACCTTTGATAACGTATTGTGTCACACCAATGAAATAGTTAGCATAAGGAAGAAGTGAACAGATTTTGTCACATTTTATGCTGCTAATCTTAAAGCTGACAATGATTGGTGGTGTTATTTAAGGTTGAGGATAACAGATGAAATGTGGAAATGTAGAAAATGCAAAAGGGCCATATATGAATTTGTATTGTGAGTGATTATAGTTGCGGGTTTTGGTCTTTCCTGTGTTTAAGTCCAAGAAGACATATCAATCTGCATAAACAATGATAAGACTTTGTGATTTATATAGGCATCAGTAGTTGAAACATCGAAAAGGCCACTCCCAAAGCTCCGGAACACAACTCCTGAATCAACAAGATATGAAGAAAACCCGGTGCCTCAAGGAACATTGAACGTAGCACAAGTGCGACACATCATGCTTCTCTTTCAGGGAAAAGCTCAGGATCACCATGGTCCAATGAGTGTTAACCAGATAGCTGAAAAGTACCGGATCGATGTCTCTCAGGTACAGAAGATCACCCAGTTCCTCTCTTTGCCTACAGAGGTTACTGATAAGCAGAAGAAGCAATATGAATAAAAAGTAAAGGCTATGTTCGTTCATTTTCAGAAGTAATCAGAACTGGTTGGTTTCTTTTGTCCTTGCCAGTTTTAGAAAGTTTTGTGCGTCGATATGTAACACAGAACCAGAGATGACATTGTCTTCGATTTTTTTTTTCTCTGAGTAATAATGTAAAACTGTGTAGCTAAGAATACAAAACCATTTTTCAACCAAGCCATGATTCTTTGAAAAACAGCAGTCACACTTTGCTGATATGAATGAAATAGATTTATTAGTTAAAATCTACCGTTCCTAGTATGAAAGAGTTTGCATTATTGGTCTATTGTTCAAACAAGTATGAAAACTTATATTATTATTACTCAAAAGCAAAATAGAATAAGATTTACAAATAAAATTTGAAGAATTTTACAAGTTCATGTCAAATTTGCCTCAAACCAATCGGATGCCAGTTCATAGGCCACAAATGTTACAGCACCAGCTGGTGCAGCTTTTATGGTTGATGGAACAATGCCTTTGTAAAGGCCGTGCCAACCTTCTGATCTTAATATCTGCCCTAAACCGTCAAACATGTTCTTGTAAGCATTTAGCTCTACTCGGGCTCCATATTTTGGGTGACGTTGCAGACCTTCGACCTGCAGTGACAAACATTCTTGTATCAAACCTTGATGTTAGATCTAAAATGCTTTGTAAAATCACTTTAGGCTTCAGGTAACGCGGACTACAGTGGTCAAACACATTACGAACACAGAGCTAAAACACAAGCGGAAGTCAAATGGCAAGAAACTAACTTGGAATCTTTTCTTGACAACATCAAGCGGATGACAGACTAGTTTAGAAACAGTGCCAGAAGCTAAACCGGAAAGGAAGAGCTGAAAGCTAGAAAGACTATCACTTGGATTCGTTGAGCTTGATGAAGATGATCGGTATCGCTTATTATATACCTAGCGCAAAATGTATACCAACAGTGAGATTGAAAACTCCAGATACAGCTTAAGATAATCTGCTGCTTAGAACACAAAGTTGTGGTGGAGGCAATGGTGTGTATCTATGTTATATATTCCAAAGGAAAAAAAGATTGAGAACATTCATGAAGCTATAGCTTACCATACTCCAGCGTTTAAATGTGTCATAAGTGCCGAACTGCAGACCAGCATAAGGAATGATCTCGATCAAAGTTGGGGACAATCCTGCATACAACCCTTTGATTCCACGAGTTTGCACTATACTCAGAAATGCTGACCTCATATTTGGATATACCTACCCCCAAAAAAATTTGACATATCAATTGTCAATAGCTGATAGTATCATAGTAATTCATGGTTGAGTAAGACATATCAGTGAAATAGTAAAATTTTCTATGAATATCAGAGAGCTCCATAGATGGGTTTCAAGCTTTCTCAAAAAATGACTTTATTTATGTCATCTCAAGACAGTTTCTTTTTCCTTTCTTTCTCAAAATATATTGTTGACTTTGCGGGAGTAGACGTTATAGAGAACCCATAACTTATGTCATCACAATTTTTTACTGAAGAAACATTGTACCTTTGGCTCACCCTGGGAAGCCAATACAGTCCGCAATAGGTCAAATGGATACGATCCAACTGTTGCTGCACACCCTGCTAGTGCCCCGCTAATGTATGAAAGATAAGGGCTCAGTTGAGCATGATTTTCTGCAGAAGATCAGAATTCAGAATTCCTGTCAAAAACAACATGCTAAAATTTATCTCTTAACTTTCTGAGACATTGTGAATGGTTCTTTCTTATGTGGCTTGTGTAAAATTTCAAGGGGGTTGTAACATGTAGATGAATATATGAAGCCAAGTCATCTAGCCAAAAACAGCTCATTCAAAGTAGTTAAATCCACATGAACCCAAAAGTTTAGATATGTAAAAGAATCACATCTTGGATATATAATACACGTCACTAACAGATTTATTCAAAGTTAGTGATGTACCGGCCTTTGATGAACCAGCGGCAAAAGACTTCACCTTATGTAAAACTGCAAATTGTACGGATGTATAAGGCACAACCATAAGTAAAGCTGGGACATTTCCACGCCAAAAACCCTGCCATAAGCAACTTGATTTAAAAGTGTCTATAAGCCATAATTATGATGAAATCAATTCCAAAAGAAGTCTAGAATATGTCATTCATCCACTTATCAGTGTCCACAAAATTTTAGAAAGAAAAAGGCTATGAGTGCTCAAAATCTGCAGTTGACTATCATGTATCATAACCGTGGAGATTCTCGAACATCAGACAAGTCTAAATCAACGAGGCTGCATCGTCATCAAGATATATATAACACTACACAGTCCAACTCAACAAAATTAAGCTTACCATTAGAGATGATGAAAAAATCATATGAGAAAAGAATTGGTGTGAACACTTTGCATCGGTGACATTGGTAAATGACTCAGCATAAGAAAATATAAGAGTTAACACCTTCAAAAGAACAATATCTAAGCAAGGACTTACCGATAAACCTTCCTCTCTAAAGATATCCTTTGTTGTTCGAAACAAACCATTGTACTTTGGTTTCAGCGGAGAATCTTTTTTAGTCAGAGCCCATGAAGCTGTAGGCTCCAATTGAACCTGAAAATTTTCAATACTTTCACTTCAATGACCATTCCTTTTGCTCTTAATTCTCAAAGCAAAGATGTTCAACAACATGCCAAGACCTTTTCCGTGTTAAACTTATGCAAAGCAAACTCTCCCACAATCTATGTTGCTCCTTTTTCTTGAGTCATAATCTAAATCCACAAAACCCAATGAACTAAGAATCAATACTTACCTGAAATCTAATCTTGATAACATCAAGAGGAGAGGTAACCATACGTGAAATGGCACCAGCAACAGCACCAGCGGAAGCATCAATCACAGCACGTTTTAACTGTCCAGGCTCTTCTAACTCTGTACCACTCATGATCACCAGCTCCTTGCTATAACCTGAAATCATCGTGTCACAAAAATTGCATAGAAAAAGAGACTGAACCACAAAAATGGAAAATTAGATTGAAAAAAACAGAGGAATTAGGGTTCTATGTTAGAATCAGTCGATGTTGCAGATAAAACTAATTGAAAAGCAATAAACTACTCAAACTTTAATGAAATTCTCCAGAGAAACTATGTGGAAGAATTACAATGTAGAGAAATCGATTGTAAAAGAAATTGGAAAGAAAAAAAATTGATCGTTGTTGTGATTTAGATAAGTATATAAAAGAAAAGGAACGTACAAGGAAGGAACCGCCATGAAAGTGGTTATTGGAAGCTTTTAGGACTTTAGAGTAAATAAACAGAGGACTCTGTTACCGCCATTTATTGATGGGATCTCTAAAGAAGAAGAAGAAGAAGAACAATCCGTAGCTGAGAGCTACCAATAAAAACACAACTAAAAATAATAAAAGCAATAACACTAAAAAATAAAAGAGAAACTTTAAAATTTGTGGTTCTACAGAAAAAAGTTGTAAAAGCATGGACCTCAAATTAAGTCAAAGATAGTAGCTTAATAAACCAAACATTTATATTATACATGCTAAACCTTACACATGTAATTTCTACTTTGATTATATGAGAATTAATAAACCTAAATTGTGGAATATAGGAAAGACTTTATAATGATAATAAACAATGTTTAGAACAAAATAAAATTTTGGAAGATTATTATCCATTATGCATCAAATCATCAACATATCTATTGTATAACTATTCTTAAATGAAATTATTTAAAATTTATTAAGATTCTTATCCATTAATTTTCTATTTTAAGAAAATTTGATTTGTATGAAGTATTTTAATTTTGATCCATTTCATGCCAAAACAAAATCATATTATAATAAATAAATATCTTTTTTTTAGATAAAAGGTTTTCAAATTAAATTGCAGGGTAACAAATCATATATGATTTTTTGGATCATATAGTTTATAGAAAGTATGTATAGCGAAAGTAATGACTATGGATAAGGAGAGAATTAGTGATGTGTTATGCCACTAGTCTCCTCCAATGGATGATTCGTCGACCTCCTCTACCGCCACAACCCACAAGGCCACAACTGTCCACATTTCTTGAATCATTTTGAAATTGTTATTCCGATATGAAAACCTAATTGAAATTAGATATATATATCACATATTTTGAACTATAACACAACGTAACCAAGATTATATATATATACACCTTATAAACAGTGTTACAAACTCAAGTACAACATAAGGAGACATTGAAACACAAACACAAACAACACACAAGTAACACATAGGCAAAGTGCGTGAAAGACCTTATTTACCATTTACACACGTACAATGACAATTTCTAGAACAGAGCTTTTTTATAGCTCATTTTTATTTATTAGACTGAGACTTTGAGAAAAGATTAAAAACTTCACTTGGAAATGGGCTTGACATGGACTCCAACTTGGTGAATTATGTCAGCACCGGCTTTGCCATGGAACCCAACGACCTTGTGGCCATCTTCTTTGAGTAGGACGCTTTTGGCACCTTCAAGTCCAAAAGGTGGAGAGGTTCGCTTGTTAGTAGTGAACCTAAGCATCGTTATAATTTCACCTTCATTTCCAAATATGTTGTCGTAGTTAATCTCCACCGATGTTATATGTTCGTTCGGATATTCAAGCACGAACTGCAAAAGAAAAAAATAAGATTTTATGAAACAAAATTTTGATGTTGTATATACTGATTCTGCAATGTATATATATTTGACCTCTTCAGGTGCAAGTAGTGTTCTTTTCCCATGATCATTTCCGGGGACCTCCTTAGAGTCCTTGTCGTAGACGAACTTGACGTATGATACACCGGAATCGCCCTGACCTATATACACTTTCCTCACACCATCATGAGGACCATCGTCCCATGGATTTCCCACGTTACCACCTTTTGCTTCTAGTTTCTTGGCACCAGCTGATCCGGCTGACTGAGCTGATCCAGCTGGCTGAGTGGCTGAAGGAGTACGACTACCACCGGATGAAGGAGCGAAATAAGCTCCCAGAGCATGAAGAAGTTCGCCTACTCGTCCATGGAACCCAACTAGTTTGCCACCATTCTTGTCCTTGAGTTCATATTTTTGTGAACCCTCGAGTCCAAAGGGTGGTGAGATTTTTCCCTTGGATGTTTTGAAGATTAAGGAGGTGATAACTTCCGTGTCTTGCCCAAATATCTTGTCGGATTGCACCTCCACTGATGTGATGTAGTCGTCTGGATCAACCTCAAACTATACAAAGATTTCAAATGAGTTCATTCTTTGGCAAGGCAGGTCATAAGATAAGCAAACTGCAATGAATTTGAACTTTCTAGTTAAAATTTAAAAAAGGAACTAATCACACACACACCACTTCTGCTCCTAGCAAGGTCTTCTTTCCGTGTTCGCGTGATTCCTTCTTACCGTCCTTCTCGTACTCGAACTTGACATAAGTGACACCAGAATCACCTTGTCCAGTGTACACTCTTCTTACATGATCATGAGCACCATCGTCCCATGATGTTCCTCCTTTCCCACCTTGAGCATCAACTTTGTTGGCTTGACTCAAACCGGACGACGACGTGGAGGAGGGGGAAGGTAAGGGAGCAAAGTGGACGTCAATAGAGTTGAGGACATTGCTGCTAATTCCTTGAAAACCAGCAATCTGATTATCTTTGGGTGCATGAATGGAGAATTGGTTCCTTGTTTTGTTTCCGTAAGGACCATATTCGGTTTTATTGGTCTTAAAAGCCAAGGCTGCTATAGCATCTTCAGCCCCCGTAGTTTTGTAGTAGCCAGTAACATCTGTTATGTACTCGTCAGGGCTCAAGCTCACCTACAATAAAATAAAACATTCGATTAAACTAAACATTCGATTAAATATATAGTTTATATATATGGTAGACCAAAATTTTCCTAGCCCTAGATCATTTGTATATCCCTTTATTAGACCTAGCAGGACGGGACATCAAACCCCATCATTCTTTTTGTTTTTCATTTAGTAATTAAGTGAAAACTAATCAATATTAAGACAACCCCGTCAAGACCACAAAACCGACCAAACTAGACCAATTGCAACATCTATAAATCGAAATATCATATGTATAAATGGGGAAGGTCGTGATGAGTACTAACGCCGTCAGATTTCTTGCCAGGAGTGCCGTGACGGTGAGGGTTATGAGTGTCTCCGTCGTATTCAGCCTCTATGGAGTTGATAACATCTTCATATGTAATCTGCACTCTTTTCACCTTCATGTGCTTCCCGTCGTCCCAAGACATCGTTGCGGCCGCCATTGTATCTGACCATTTTACTACCGACTGTTAATTTTTATTTTTCATTAATAAAGGAAAACTGCTATATATGTACGTAATTTTCATTTATTAGGTAAATTTTTAGCATTTTCATTACACTTTTAAGATAATCGAAAAGAAAAAATAAAAAAGAATGAAGAAAATTAAGTTTTTCCTTTTGTAGTTGTAACTTGTAACGCTATAATAAATTCAAATAATGAAGTGAACCATTAGGAAAGAGAGGCTACGTACCTCTGTGTTTTTTTTTCTTTGGTTGACAAAAAGAGATGAGAGAGTTGGTGTGGTGATGACTGATGCATGCAAGTGTGTTTTTATATAGACAGGGAGACTTATTTAGATAGCGACTAACTCAAAACCAAACTTGTGGCGCTCTAAAGATCACACGTTACTCTATATGATAATTGTTCCACTTGTTGAAATTCTTGCGACATCCACTTATGACCCTTCAAATATCAAACACTTGGTCTCAATATACACATGTACTTCTACAGAATCATACACTCAATCTTAACATCCAGATGTAAAATTTATTCGACGTACACATCATGTGTAGCACATGTGAATATTACGAACACATGCGAATATTGCGCCTCAAAAAGAGGAGACTATTACACAAAAATGACAATGTGCATGCAATAGTGAGAGTGACAAAGAGACACTTGGACTTCAAGAACTCATCAATCTGCATGTAATAGTGTAAATACACTTGGCGGCCTCCAAATACAATTTTTGCTTTGAACTTCATCACCCGATCGGTGCTACGTACATGCATCATGTATGTATATATCTATAAATATATAACGATATTCTCCTTCTAAATTGATTCCATCAATAGTTTTCCACTTTGTTTTGAAATTTGACCAAAAGCACACTCGTGAGCTTTTACACAAAGAATCAACAATGAAGTTTCCTCTATTGGGGTTACTTTTGCTCCTAAGTATTGTCGGCTCTACGACAAGGGCCGAAGAAGGACCTGTTTGCCCGAAGACCGAAACTCTTAGCCGTGCAAGTTTTCCGGAGGGCTTTATGTTTGGTACCGCAACCGCAGCCTTTCAGGTACATGCATATGTATACGTACAAACTAGATAAAATATCCTACTAAGTTGGGATATTAACACAATTACAATGGGTGAAGTGAAGAATATGTTGGGAAATGTAACAATGAAAATTATGTATATATGTGGTGAATCTAGGTGGAAGGTGCAGTAAATGAAGGTTGCAGAGGTCCAAGCCTGTGGGATATCTACACCAAGAAATTTCCACGTCTGTCTCTCTTCTTTTCGACCACGAGCATATATATGTCCACTTATTAGTAGTTGAATTTTTATTTTTTCTTAACATGCCAAGAGGTGTTAACGACCAGTGTTATAACAAGGACTGTGTAGCTAACCATATATCTAATGAAAATAAATCACATGTTCGTACTATGTTAAACTGCAGATAGAGTTAAGAATCACAACGCTGACGAGGCCGTCGATTTCTACCATCGCTACAAGGTATTCCAGATCTCTTTCTTTTCATTTTAAAGGTTTGATCATTGATAATATTAGTTTCTAACGTTTAGTTTAAACAAGTGAAATATGATTGAAGTAGTCTACATAATTTTGGAACAACATTTTATCAAAACAGTATTAGAATAATTTTGAACAATGTAAGATGAATAGTGAAATCGAATCAGAATTAACTAAGTTGGTAACTATATAATACTTAGTAGAGAAGTGAATCATAAGGTTCTTCATAGAGATTTTTTCAAATAAGTTTATCGATTAGAAAGGCTCTAGGCTTTTATTTATTACTCCCTCTGTTTCAAATTATAAGATGTTTTAGGGATTTTTGTTTGTTTCAAAATATAAGAAGTTTTACAATTTTCAATGCACATATTAAATGTAATTAACATTTTTGACTATTTATATTCTGCAGTCACTTTTATAATTGGTTGATTTTTAAAAAATTAAATATTAAATGATAGTTTTTTTTAAAAAAAGCCAATTTTCTTAACTAAAACCTCCTATATTTTGACACCTCCTATATTTTGAAACAGGGCTCTACAAAGTCATATTTAAAATTTGTAACTAATGTTTCGTTTGCCTATTTAAATCAACAGGAGGATATCCAGTTGATGAAAAAGCTGAACACTGATGGTTTTAGACTTTCCATTTCGTGGCCAAGAATATTTCCTCGTAAGTTCAACCATTCATGAGTTTCTCAACAAATAAAAGTAGGCCACGAGAATTTTAGAATTATGATTGGTTCTAACAAGAGTTGGATACTGAATAATAATATAACAGATGGGAGGATGGAGAAAGGAATCAGCAAAGAAGGGGTTCAATTTTACCATGATCTTATAGATGAGCTCTTTAAAAATGGTCATTGATTCTATATCCATTATTATCTATTTATCGTATTAACATCTAGTAACTTAAAAAAAACTAACTCTTCACTAAATTATTGTTTCAGACATAACACCATTAGTAACGGTTTTTCATTGGGATACTCCCGCCGATTTGGAAGATGAATACGGTGGCTTTTTAAGCGAACGTATTGTGTGAGTTTATGCTTTGATTTCTAAAGATATTTGTACTAGGAATTGAAAAACAAAATGATTTAATCCACATTTGTAAATATCAAATATAATTATTTTCCTAACAATGTGAATAGGCCTGATTTTGTGGAGTACGCAAACTTCACGTTCCACGAGTACGGAGACAAAGTGAAACACTGGATTACGTTCAACGAGCCATGGGTCTTTAGCCGTTCGGGCTACGACGTTGGAAAGAAAGCACCCGGACGTTGTTCTCCTTACGTCAAAGACTTTGGACATCTTTGTCAAGATGGACGGTCAGGATTCGAACCTTATGTCGTCAGTCACAATTTACTTGTGGGTCATGCTGAAGCTGTTGATGCTTTCCGAAAATGCGAAAAAGTAAAAACAAAAATAAATTTAATCACATTCTTTACATGATATAAACCAACTTTGTTTTGAAGTTTCATTTACTTTGGTTTTTAAATAGTGCAAAGGTGGTAAAATCGGGATTGCTCATAGTCCGGCTTGGTTTGAACCGGAAGATGTGGAGGGAGGTCAAAATATGGTAAACCGTGTGCTAGATTTCATCATTGGCTGGTAAAACTCAAAACCATCAAATCTTGATAATTCTTTCATACTCGGTTTATTATATACACTATTCAAATATATGATGTATTTTTGTGATTATTTTTTCCTCAAGGCATTTGGATCCTACCACGTACGGAGATTATCCACAGTCTATGAAAGATACAGTTGGAACTCGGTTACCAAGATTTACAAATGCTCAAAAGGCAAAACTGAAAGATTCGACAGACTTCGTGGGAATAAACTATTACACTTCCTTCTTTTCAAAGACTGGCAAGCCTGATAGTCGGAACCCAACTTGGGCTACAGATGCTCTAGCCGAATTTGAACGTACGTAAGATTAGTTTATTTCGTTATTCATTTGCTAAGTTATTTATAGTGATAAATGGTTCATAAGTTTAAATGATTATGTTATATACTATCAATTGATATATGATTACTAAAACGAAAATTGTGAGATCTTTTCATAAAAAAAAAGAGCAATAATTATTCCATAAATTTATACTAGTTAAGTTCATCATATATTCTACATTCAAGAACTTTTTTACTTAAAACATTTTTCAGCGAAGACTGTGGATGGATCCATTAAAATTGGTAGCCAGGTACACTACTTAAACAAGAACTTCTTTACAAATTGGGATTTAATTGCTTTATAATTTCTCATTTCTTGTATATATATGTTGTAGCCCAACACTGCTAAGATGGCTGTATACGCAAAGGGTTTGAGGAAGCTCCTGAAATACATTAAGGACAGATACAACAACCCCGAGATCATAATCACTGAGAATGGTTACTAAAGAATCTAAAATCTTTTTATATAAAAATGGTATTTATACCGTTTTTCTATTTTTGTTGTTATTTCGAAAACATTTATAATAGGTTACGGGGAGGACCTTGGCGACAAAGATACAGATCTTAGCGTTGCTCTCAACGACCACAACAGGAAATACTATCTCCAGAGGCATCTTTTGGCCCTGAATGAGGCTATATGGTGAGATGATCAGTTACTCAGTTGTAGTTAATTAGGCTTTGATCTTTAGTAATAATTCAATTTTTTGAATCTTGCAGTGAAGACAAGGTGAATGTTACATCGTATTTCTTGTGGTCTTTAATGGACAACTTCGAGTGGCAAGATGGGTACACAGCAAGGTTCGGGGTTTACTACATCGACTTCAAGAACAACTTGACTCGTATGGAGAAAGAATCTGCAAAATGGCTTTCTGAATTCCTCAAACCTGGCCTGAAACCATCTAAGTCCTCGAAGCTCCATGAGGAGCTCTGAGTCGAGTTTCTCTGCAAGATCTCCAAGCAAAGCTTCAATCCCGCGGACAATAAAAGAAGGACGAGTTTGTCTCTGGTTTCTTCTTATGTTGTATAGTTTCTGCTGCAGTGTAATTAAGAGATGTTTTGAATAAAGAAATGGGTTACTATAATACCCAAATATATGTATGCAATATGTACAGTGTTTCATCCCTTGTTTGAAAAATCGCTAGGCGCTAGTCGGGCGTTCGGCATGGGCCTAGCGATTAATCGGAAAATCGGATTAAAATCGGGGATTAATCGGGGATTAATTTTAGGGTTATTTTAATATTTTTAAAATATATTAATTCAATATTGTTTTCAAAATTACAGTAAAAACAAATTTTTATGATTTTTATTAAAATTTGAATACAAGTTATGTAAAACATCACAAACTCCCAATTCAAATGATTGAATAACAAAAATAAAATATTTTTTTTATACTTGTAATCTAAAAAATAATCGGGGTATGTAAGATTAGGCGGGAAATAATCGGATTAGGCGGAAAATAATCGGATTAGGCGGAAAATAATCGGATTAGACGGAGAATAATCGGGTTACTGATTTTTTAGGGGATTAGTCATTAATCGAGGCGGAGAGGGTGGGCCTAGCGATTAAGCGGGGAGTAATCGGGGTTAGGCGGGGATTTTTAGAACAGGGGTTTCATCTATCCAAAGCTTTGATTTATGTGTGGAAGACAACATAATCTATTTGCAGAGTGATGCAAGAACCCGGCGAGGAGGTTCAAATGGTCTTCGAGAGTGAAGAACCGCCCAGTTATCGATAAGCAGAACATCTCCTCTCTGCCACGGAACAGCAACACATTCCTCTTCAAGGATTCTGAGACAGTCATGAACTATATCCTCGGGTAAAGGCTTTCCATCCCCAAAAGTCACAGCCTTTCTTGGATCATTCCGCTTATCCTCCCAGCCCGTATAAGCAGCTACCATACTATTAAACCATACTTTGCGGTTTCTCGACTCGTCATATTTGATAGCCGGTATCGGACCCATTACCGTCTTGGCTCCACCATCCTCTGTCCATTCCAATTTCATTCCCAAATTAGCCGCCCTGTCAAAGCAAGTTTTATCAAGAAAACCCTCTCAACAAACCCACCATTTAAAAATCTAAAACAGCTGATGATGAAGTACCTTTGCTCAGCAAGGTTCTTGTCATGGGTCAAGAAAGTAGATTTCCAACCACGTCCAATGGGAGATGAAGGATCATCATCTTCACCTAAAACCCTAACATAAAGCAAACCATGTTCCTCCAATCTTTGAACAAACTCTGGATGTTTCTCTTTCATTCTCTCATACACAACATGACTCAACACAATTGGAGTCTCTCCACCAGATTTAGGCTCAATCTCACAGTAAAAGAACAACTTTGATGGAAACTCAGGTACCTAAAACACACCATCTTCAAATTCCATAAAGCTCAACACTTTAGAGATAATTCAGATTCACATAATCAAATTCACATATACCTGAGCCATCTCGTGGTGAAAAGGAATCTTCTGATCAGGAGGAGATTCATTAGCAGTGAAGACACGGCCGACGACGCTAGTGCGAGGAGCAGCGCCTCCGACGTAAGGAAACTCATCGAAACCGAAAGCTTCAACGACGTCGTTGAAATCCTCGGCGGAATTCACCGGAAAACCTCTGAATATCACTGTTCCGGATTCGTGCAAGAGCGAATCGAGGTAGGGTTTCTGATTCTTGATACTCTGAGTGAATAGTGGAAGAGACACAGCAGGAATCGGAATCGACGAAGACGGTGGTGATATCACCGCCGGGAATGGTTTGGATTTGTAGTGCTTTTGCTGTGGGATTCGAGTTTCTTCCACCAACAATTCCGCCATTTTTGTTTTCTGAGTTTTTTTCTCAGTTATTTTCTATTTATATATTTTTGTTATTTAATACGTTTAAGATATAGATGAAATTTCAGTAAAAATATTTGAGCTTTGGTTTTTTTTTTTTTTTTTGGCTAAGAAGGTAAATATTTTATAAAAATAAAAAAAAATATTTAGAAATACAATCAAAAATCATAAGACCATCTTTATCAATGGATTTTTAGGAAAATCTTAAGATGATCTTAACATTTAATTGATTAAAATTAATTCTCAAATGCATTAAATCTAAGATGGGTTCCTTATCTAAGGAACAAAAAATTCTAAAAATTCTTAAGAACCAAAACTAAGAGACTATTGATAATAGTGCTCTAAGTAGTCTATGCAATGGTCTCATGGTAAAAAAGATTAAAACATGGAAGTATATATGAAAAACACATTTTCAGTCCATCGACGTACGACGCTAACACCAAAACTAACAGAGTTGGATAAAGTGATTAGGATTTTGAAGTTCTTCTTCTTAAGTTACAGAAGACGAAATACAACAAAGCAACTTGTAAAACACACATTTGATTTGAGCTTTGGTCTTCTAAATTTCTAATCCTAGAATAAAAGTTTTTTTTTTTTTTTTTACCGTTGATCCAACATAGATTGGTTTTTTGATGTGAAACACTCTCTATAATGTGTTAGAACTTAGAACATTTATCTCATACATATTTGTGTGAAAAGACCAATTAATGTATTTTACATACTTTATTTCATTTTTAGATATAGGATAACACATGATTCTAACAAGGAATATTCGAGAGACGAAAAAAAAAAAACGAATATTCGAGTCACAATTGGCCAAAGCACCACCCTAACATTGGAAGAATTTAAGCGGCTACACTTTTATTCGTCACAATTACTAGTAACACTACAACAACATAAAGTAGATATTGAACACTAAAAGTAATTAAGAGGCTTAATTAAGTTTACGAAGACGCTAACAACAACGACAACAAGTTCCCGGTGGAGGACGTGGGCATTCACAGCAGCGGCAAGCAGGACATGCCACTTTATCACTTCCAGTAACGTGAGAGTCTACAAAGCAAAATAATAATACAAAACATTAGGAATAAAATAAATTCATATTGAAAATGCTTTCATAAAATAATATGATTGATATTTCTTGATGATGTTTGTTAATGGTCTTGCCTGCTGGTGCGGTGGGACTTCTAGTAGCATGAACATCTTCAAATACGAATAGAAAACACACACAATTAAATTGATTGGTAAATTGTCAACTTAAATCAATTAATTGAGCAACTTAATTACTTACCAGCGATACAAGAACGAAAACTTGTCGGAGATAAAACCATGGATGTGATGAAAAGGATTAGAATCATTTTCTTCATAGAGCTATTATATTATTATTAGTCATAATGAGTTTTGAGTATGGTTTCTGGTTTTTATAAGCTTATATCTATCTAACTGTGTATTTATAGAATGTTAATGGATAACAAAGGAGATAAGAATTGACGAAAAATATTACATGTTCCCATGCATGGTCATGTGTTCAATTTTTGTTGTTTGAATCTTGTTATTTTATTTTGAAATAATGTGGTTAAAGCTTTTGGGCATGGATTTTTTGCCACTTAAATATCTGTGTAGAGAGACGTCAGTAATATTTAGTTATTTACAGAGGATATGATGTTTGAAGTCAAAGGCTTTAAAGCTACTATTAAATTCTTTTTGTTTGTAGTAATTGAAAGCTCGAAGTATGTTATCGTGTCATATGACTCAATACCAAAAAATTTCAATAATTGTTGAAGTTTGAACGATGAAGATATATTTTTGGGTGCTTTTTTTCTTATACGTTGTTTGGCTGCGTGTTAGTACTGACTTACTGTACAAAGTGGACTTTTACAAATATTATTCTTTTGCATGTTTATTCGTCAGCTTTAAAAGATACATTAATCTTTTCATTTAGTGAACATTGATTATTACGTTCAAATACTTCTAGTCAAATCTATACATGCACATACAACAAATATGTAAAAATAAAATAATGGGGGAAAGTCATTTGAGGTTGGTAAGTAAGTGACGAAGATGAAAGATACTAATCGGTTATGGAATAGTGAAGATATTTTTTTCCACACGATACTCTTGATCTTTTTTGTTAAGACATACCATAATTTTTGCATCTTCAACTTCTTTTCACATTAATATGATTTTCGCTGGATGTTTTCCACCCATATTTCGAAGAATCTTATTATAGTGTTCAAATATCCCACATTAGAAATTGACATATTTCTATACTAGTATGTAAAATCAATATATAAAGTTTATGGACTTATTATACCAATTGGTTTTGAATTGATCTCATCAACATCTTGTAATCAACAAATAATAAGAAGAATTATATTGATACAAAAATAAGGAGAAATGATACAAAAATGAGTACTCTAACTCACATTTTCACCAATGTGTTGAGTGACAAAAAAAACCTCGATCTTCTTACCAACAATCTCAAGTTTGTCATTTAAGACACTTTGTGCTGTAATTGAATCTTCAAGTTGGGCAAACTACTGAAGGGAAATAATATGTGTAAGGAATCCAAAACCTTTGTACGTGTTGCCCTGTTTCAAGGTCAAGCGTTAACTCAACAAGGTCAAAAAGACCAAACTTCGTGAATACCTCTCTAAGCCGCAACTCTGTCACGCTAGAATCAAGATTCTTCACATACAACTTCCTATATATACTTTTCTAAGCTGCAACTCTGTCATGCTGGATTCAAGGTTCTTCACATACAACTCTCTAAAGCCCACTTTTAGTTATTCATTTTAACTTTTTTTTTCTATTATAATCCGAAAGAACAAATTTTTAACATAGTTGTTAACTCAATAGGCTGTCGATATTTTATGGTAATTCATCACCTCTCCGAGGACATCAAAACTACCTTATAAACTTAAAATTGTTCAACAGAAACCAAGTTTTTCTTATTCAAACACACAATAAACTTTTTGTTTAATTATTCATACGTATTATATTACACATCACAATAGCTCATCTTAGAGCATAAGTCAGTCCTCAGGGACCGTCAGGACAACGACATGGGCAACAAAAACCAGGTGGAGCCGGTGCACAACATTCACACTGTGGACACATGAGAATAGGTGGTGACGGTGCCATGAGCTTACGCACTCCACCTTTCCATAAAAACATCACTTTTTGTCTAAGAAAAACTGAAACATAGAGCATGATAATAAGATTGGAGTAATATTAGAGATGAATTAACTTACCTCCTAGAGGCATACCATCTGCTTGACATAGAAGTTTTGGAGACAAGACTAGCGCGAGAACAAAAACATATAGGGGGATGTTGGATCTTGCTGACACTGTTTTCATTGCAGCTTTAGGATGTGTGAATGTGAAAATGTTATTGAACTAAAGCGATTTGCAGTTGAAACTTGAAACCATGGGAGAGGATGATTATATAGCCGGGGGAGCGAGAGGAAGTAAATTGAACAAGTTGGCCAAGAAGATGACTTAGCAATAAAATAATTAAGAGATCAAATCTAGTTACCATTGACCAAAATAAGCCAGTAGTTTTGATGATGCAACTATCTTTTGATTTCACACGGTAATTGATATAACTATCTTCTGAATTCACCATCTACATGCTGCAATTATTGCTATTAGTTGACCTTTAGTGAGATGACTTGTTTGGGGAAAATTTATGAGAAGTAATCAGGCCAACAATTGTGTAAAGAGTTCATATTAAACGATGAGAAAAAGTAGAAGAGCCTTTGCTAGTACCAAAAAAAAAAAAGTATTTACACGCATAGATGAAGAAACAATCTTGATGAGCTTAGAACTTCATTCTTTTAGCAGGACCTAGCTTGATCGATAATAGGATCGATTTGAGGCGGTTGTGACTTGTGACTCTCCTCCCTGTGTTCCAAGCTCTTCCTTTTCTCCTAATGCTTCTTGGCTAACATAACCTTCAGGAAATGGTGTGGCAGTGGCGGAGCTAGCCATTACCTTTATAGGGGTCAATTGACCCCCTTGTTATGCATATACCTCCGCCCATGCGGTGTGGTGGAGGTGAATAAATCAAAATATTGATGAAGTTATCTATCTCAAGTGCAACAAAGAGTAACTAATATACAAGAACTTGTTTAACTTGAACAAGAGTAGCTTCCTCAGTTAACTGAAAAACTTATAGGCTATTTCAAATTTTTAACTATGCACACTTGCATCCACAAACAGTTCATACAAATGATAATTTATTAATCCCCTTTTTTATTCGTATTAACTTTTTTTTTGTTCAACCTTAACTTTTTTTTTTTTTCATAACCTGAAAGATAAACTTCAACATTGTTGTGAACTCAATAGGCATTTTTTGGAGTGACATTTGTGGATTTTTCTTTAAAATCTTATGAATTTGCCATTTTTCAGGCCATAAAAATACGATTAAACATGCGTTTAGTGAAATAACCGTAGTCTAGTGGTAAAAATAAGTCTACTGAGAGCAGACACCATCATACCAGAGATCGAGTCCCGCTCCCAATAAATGTAGGGATTTGGCTAATGGGCCGGCCAGTTGTGGCCCAATGTTGAAAAAATATGATTTAACATGTGTTTTACCCGTTATGTTTGGGTTTAGTCGTTTCTATTTATTCTTAATGTTTAATTTTTTTAATAAGATTTTAGAGAAACTGACAAAATCCATAAATGTCACTCTATAATCCCTATTTTTATATTAGTTCATCAACTCTTGTGGTCTTATAAACTTAAAATTATTCACCAGAACCCAAAGGTTTTATTATTCAGAACACATAATACACTTTTTGTTTACTTGTTCATACATATTATAAGGAATTAAGGATTACACAGATTTTAAACAAATCGAAGTAGCACATTGTATAGCAGATTTTAATACACTTCAGGGACCACCGGAACAGCCACAAGGGCAGCAAGAACCGGGTGGAGCCGGTGCGCAACATGCACACTGTGTACACATGAGAATAGGTGGTGGCGGCGCCATCAGCTTACGCCCTTCACTTTTCCATAAAAACATCAATTTCTCCCTAAGAAAAACCAAAAGTAGATTGGAGAAATTTCAGAGATTAATTAGCTTACCTCCTAGAGGCACACTAGCTGCTTGACATGGAAGTGTTGGAGACACAACCAGTGCGAGAAATAAAACATATAGGAGGATGGTAGATCTTGCTGACCCGGTTTTCATCGCAGCTTTAAGATGTGTGATATGAAAATGTTATTGAACTAAACCGATTTGCTGTTGAAACTTGAAACCATGGTGAGAAGATGATTATATAGGCGGGGGAGAGAGAGGAAGTAAACTGAACAAGTTGGCCAAGAAGATCAATTCTAGTTACCATTGACCAAATAAGCCATTCGTTTTGACTTTTGATGCAGCTATCTTCTGAGTTCTGATGTAACCATCTACATGATAGGTATTGAAATAAATACATGCAATTAGTTGACCTTGAGGTAGTTGCAGTGAGACGACTTCCGTGTAGCGAAAATTTATGAGAAGTAATCAGGTCGACAATTGTGTAACGAGTTCAAATTAAACGATGCGAAAAAAAGTAGAAGAGCCTTTGCTAGTACCTAAAAATTCTATACATGCATAGATGAAAACAATCTTAATGAGCTTATAATTTCATTCTTTTAGCCGGACCTTGATCGATAATAGGATCAATTTGAGGCGGTTGTGACTCTCCTCCCTGTGTTCCAAGCTCTTCCTTTTCTCCTAATGCTTCTTGGCTAACATAACCTTCAGGAAACGGTGGCGGTGGGGGTGCTGGTGCTAACTACACACCGCAACACAAAAAGCAAAACTCAATCAGAAGAAAGGTATAGGAAGTTAAGTCAGCAACATTCACCAGGCCTGCAAGAGAGATCTTTAGTGATCCAGCAAATACATTTTCTCAGAGTTACAAATGTACCTTTCGGTATAACGAGGTAAGAATGACATCAACTCGCTTCATTTCTTTTAGATCAACTGTCTCACTAGCAGGCTTCGACTCAGAGGGTTCGTTCTGGTTTTCAGTATCAACTGAAATACATAAATAAAATCACATTATTGAAGAAGTTATTCAAGTGCAACACAGAGCAGCCAATAAACAAGTACTTGTTAACATCATACACTTGTTCAGCATTGCCCGTGGGCTTGAAAAACTTCTGGCTATTTCAATCAGTTCATACAAAGAACATATATAATTCGTCCCAGTTTCTTTGATTAAATGGCCAAGCTGGCAAAAAACTTTGTAACACATCAATTGAGAACAGAACCATCAATCATTTGGAAGAAAATGAAACCTTACCTTGTCTAATGGTCTCCAATTTCGATGCAGCAACAGAGAAAGCCTTGGATATATTATAAATAGTCCGACTCTGATTCAAACATACAAAACGAGAAAGAGAGAAGTAAAACAAAACATACCAGAAAACTAAAGAAGACAACTTTCATCTAGTATCTACCCTCTCAGAGGAAGAAACTTACAACACGAGCTGCGAAGACACTACAAAGCTGAGGAGCTTGGTATATAGAACCATCCAAGATATAATAAGTTAGCATGGGTGTGACTTTCTCAGGACCATCTCTCTTCTGCTTACGGAAGACGAACAGGTTAGGTTCAGTAGCATCAGTTAGCATATACTCAAGTCCTGTCATCTTCCTGCATATATAATCTCAATGGTTTCAATCAAACATTGTCACTCAATTCCCTACCTAAATCTAAGGAATCAAACAGAGACTAAATCCTAATCTGACCTAAATTCGAAACCTTATGAGATTCAACATGACTCTATAGAGCTAGGGTTTTCTTAATCCGGCGATTGAATTGGAAAGGTGAAAAGTAGAGAGTGAGCTTACGAGAGGTGAGAGAGATCGAGAGGGTGAATGGATCTTCTCCGAAGAATCTCATTGTTGCAGGTTGTATCGTAGAAGGGAGACAAAGCGAAGTAATCGAAGATGTAGTTACGATCAAGAGGATATGAATTGATCCAGAGCTGATCCCTGAAGGATATTCCAGTCATATCCGTGCCCGGAGGTTGCGACGGAGGAGGAATCTGATCCGTCGCATTGCCGTTGAAGGTATCGGCCGTAGCCGCCGAGAGTAGAGAGGAGTCCATGGAAGAGTGTGACTCGCTTCGCCGGGAAGGAGAAGAGCCACAGAGAAAGAAAGAGAGAGTAATATGGTTCGGCCCATTATGAACTTTGGGCTTTTTTGAATTATATTAGCCCAAACTTAAAGGAATACATATATCTTTCTAAATTAAACTACTTCCAATGTTTTTTGTTAAGCTTCCGCCTTCGGCGTGAATGTAAGATTTTAAACAAAAGCAAATAAATAAGTGATGAATGATGAATTTGTGTATCAACTCTTGAACTCTCTCGGATTATAACCTAGTTAATTAGAAGATAAACAAAGACAGATCTTTGTGTGTTCTTCTAGATCAAATTATCATCTAGTGAAATAAAACACAAAGGTCAAAGTCAACGAATCATATGTAAGAAGGTTTTTGTGTGTTGCATGCACGTCTCCTCCCTGGACCAGCTAGCGACGGCAATTGCTACATTTAGTGATTTTTGGGTCTTTGGAACCATTTTGATCCTCACAATCTTTGCTTCTTTTAAAAACATGTAAAATTTGTCTTCCACAGTTCCACGTTGTAGCTTACCTATTCATTTGCCGAACAACCAATTCAATTGAAGAAAAAAAATGGTTTGTTTTTTTGAACTATGTATGGATGGCAGTTTTTAGAAATTGGATTTCAAATTAAAACTAATTTATTGTGTCGAACCAAACCAAGATATTGTTCAATATGGATGATCTATGTTTATAAACTAAAAGAAAGAAAAAAAAAAAAAAAACTCAAACGTAACAAACGCACCTAACCAAAATTGAATTGAATACAAAAACCAAAACCAAGTTAATATTATTTTACTTCAATTTGATTTATATAGTCGAAAATAAAATACATTAGTGCATTATGCATACGTACGAATACAACGTTAAAAAACCGGAACATTGACATCAACTAAACGGCATTGGAAGATTATTGGATCCTTAATTTTAAATCTTTATAGAATGTTAATCAAATCACACATATTATTTTACTTTTATTTAGGTCCGAGACAGCTGACTCTGTTTGTATATTTTTTTTTCAAAAGTTGACCTACAAAAATAACGTCGTGCTTATTTGTTTTTCAATAATTTCAATTATTGCCTAGAAATCTCAAAGCTTTCTGCTTTTTTTTTTTTGTAAATGTGTCTCTCTTTTGTTTCATAGAAGAATAATGGAGTATCATCCTCAAGCAATTAGGTTATGTGCGTTGATCTTTATCACTTTCAATGCTATTTTACATCTCGTTGAAGCAGAAGACCAAAAAGGTATATACATACACATTTTGTTGTTGTTTTTGATACATTTTCGTCGAAATCAAAATATGTTCTTACTTAGTGTTTCGATACATTTTGTTCGCATGTGTCACTAGGATTCATCAGTTTGGATTGCGGATCATTGCCAAATGAGCCTCCTTACAACGATCCTTCAACCGGATTAACATACTCGACGGACGATGATTTTGTGCAGAGTGGCAAAACCGGAAGAATCCAGAAAGAGTTCGAGTCGATCTTCAGTAAACCATCTTTGAAGCTTAGATACTTCCCGGATGGAGTCCGAAACTGCTATACCTTGAATGTCACGCAAGACACAAACTATTTGATCAAAGCCGTTTTTGTGTATGGTAACTATGATGGTCTTAACAATCCCCCGAGTTTCGATCTTTACCTTGGTCCGAATCTATGGGTAACGGTAGATATGAATGGACGGACCAATGGTACTATCCAGGAGATCATCCACAAGACCTTATCTAATTCTCTCCAGGTCTGTCTTGTTAAGACAGGAACAAGCTTACCTATGATTAATACGTTAGAGCTACGACCACTTAAAAACAATACTTACAATACTCAGAGTGGCTCCCTGAAGTATTTCTTCCGATACTATTTCAGCGGTTCAGGCCAAAACATAAGGTATTGATCACGCCCTTTTGATTTAATCAACTTAAATTTTTGGTTTCTGGTTCGGTATGAAAATTTTGGGTCGATTGGTTTAGTATAAATTTTCAATTAATAGTAAAGATATTAAATTAAATTTAATGAAGATTATATATTTTTAATACATTTAGGTGTACATTTTGAAATTTAGAGATTAATTTGAATTAATCTTATTAGGTTTGGTTGCACAAAATTCGGTTCGAGTTCATTTAGTATAAACATTTTTCTACCATCTTGGTTATTATGGATTTTTGATTTGTTTCAGTAAGTTTGTTTTTAAGTAAAATGTTAGTCTCTAATACATGACTAAAATATTTCTGTTAGGTACCCCCATGATGTCTATGATCGTAAATGGTATCCGTTCTTTGATGCAAAAGAGTGGACAGAGTTAACTACCAATCTAAATATAAACAGTTCTGGTTATTCACCACCACAAGTTGTAATGGCGTCAGCCTCAACGCCTATAAGTACTTTTGCAACGTGGAACTTCTCATGGTTATTGCCATCTTCCACAACCCAGTTCTATATGTACATGCATTTTGCCGAGATTCAAACTCTACGGTCCCTCGATACCCGAGAATTCAAAGTGACATTGAATGGAAAACTTGCTTATGAACGCTACAGTCCTAAAACGTTAGCCACGGAAACTATATTCTACTCGATGCCACAACAGTGTGAAGATGGGACATGCCTCTTGGAGTTAACGAAGACACCAAAGTCTACTCTTCCTCCTCTCATGAACGCTCTTGAGGTTTTCACCGTGATCGATTTCCCACAGATGGAAACAAACCTAGATGATGGTATGTCTTTATGTTTTAATTTTCCTCTATATGAATCTTTTATACTTTCATGGGTTTTTATGATATAACAAACTTTATTTTAGTTGTTGCTATCAAGAGTATCCAAAATACTTATGGGTTGAGTAAAATCAGCTGGCAAGGAGATCCATGCGTCCCTAAACAGTTTTTGTGGGATGGTTTAAACTGCAATAACTTAGATATTTCCATGCCGCCTGTTGTCACTTCCTTGTAAGATCAATCTTTTTAAGGGTTTATCTTGTTAATTATGTATTTATGTTTCATCGTTTTATAATATTTACATGAAATAATGTGTTCATAAATATATGTCTTTAGAAACTTATCCTCAAGTAATTTAACGGGGATCATCGCGCATGACATTCAGAATCTTACACACCTACAAGAATTGTAAGTATTTCGAATTCTACAACTGAGCATTAATTATAAAAACTGATTATTCATTTGAATCGTATCTTATCTATAAAAAAATTTGTACTTATAAATGCTTTTTTAGAGACTTGTCAAATAATAACTTGACCGGAGAAGTACCCGAGTTTCTTGCCGGCATAAAATCCCTTTTAGTAATGTGAGTCGTTTTTAAGATAGTGCAATATTTTTTGATCAATTAGCTTCTTCCACTATAAGATTGCCAATGTTTCTAACATTGTATCTATCTTAACAGAAATTTAAGTGGGAACAATCTTAATGGCTCTGTTCCTCAAACCCTTTTACAGAAGAAAGGACTAAAGCTGATGTAAATTTCTTATCATATAATATTTTCATGACTATATAAAAAATGTGTTCAATTTTCCTAAAAACACGTAACTCATTTTTTTTCCCCTCAACACTGGTAACTCATAGTCTTGAAGGAAACACCAATCTTATTTGTCCGGATGGATTATGTGTAAACAAAGCTGGCAATGGTGGTGCCAAAAAAACGAATGTTGTAATACCGGTTGTTGCATCAGTTGCGTTTGTGGTTGTTCTTGGATCTGCTTTGGCGTTCTTTTTTGTATTCAAAAAGAGAAAGACATCAAACAGTCAAGGTATGCACAAATGTTCTTTTTAAATTTCCTTGAACATTGCAATCATATGTTCACTATGTATAGAAAGTCTCATTATACTGATGCATTGTAACATTAGGTCCATCTTCATATACTCAAGTATCAGAAGCTAGAACAACTAGATCTTCAGAGTCGGCAATAATGACTAAGAACAGAAGATTTACATATTCGGAGGTTGTAACAATGACAAATAACTTTGAAAGAGTTCTTGGTAAAGGAGGATTTGGAATGGTTTATCATGGAACTGTAAATAATACTGAACAAGTAGCCGTTAAAATGCTTTCACACTCATCTTCTCAAGGATATAAAGAATTCAAAGCAGAGGTGAGTTTTAGTAAAGTTATTAAGAAAAGTTTTTTTTTTGGTGAGTAGTTATTAAGAAAAGTTTGTAGAAACACTATCGTTCTTTTAGAGTAACATGAAATTTTTTGATGCATTTTTTCTTCCACTCTTCTAGGTGGAACTTCTTCTCAGAGTCCACCACAAAAATTTGGTTGACCTCGTTGGGTATTGTGATGAAGGAGAAAATTTGGCTCTTATCTACGAGTACATGGCTAACGGAGACTTGAGAGAACATATGTCAGGTAATTAAGTATTTATAGTTGCTACAAAGACATATTTGTTTTGTGGTGTTTCACATATTCATATATTGGTTCAAATATAGGAAAACGAGGTGGGTCTATTCTAAATTGGGAAACTAGACTAAAAATAGTCGTCGAGTCTGCGCAAGGTTTGATATGAGTTTTAATATACATTCTCCTAGTATCCTCTATTCATTTGCTTAAACCTTGATGAAAATGAAATATGTTGCATAGGTTTGGAATACTTGCATAATGGATGCAAACCACCAATGGTTCATAGGGATGTCAAAACCACAAATATATTGTTGAATGAACATTTTCAAGCCAAGCTAGCTGATTTTGGGCTTTCAAGATCTTTTCCAATTGAAGGAGAAACTCATGTGTCAACAGTTGTTGCTGGAACTCCTGGATACCTTGATCCAGAGTAAGTGTCATTAGCTCATTGATTATCGTTTTTGTTTTAAATCAATTTTGAGATATATTGTCAGTTATCTTCTTTCGTTGGTTAATTGTTATCATATTTTTTTGCATATTTATACCTTATCCATTGGAATAAAGAAACTTCTTTTTGCAGATATTATCGAACAAATTGGTTGAACGAGAAAAGTGATGTTTATAGCTTTGGAATTGTACTATTAGAGATCATCACAAACCAACCTGTGATCAATCAAAGCCGCGAAAAGCCACATATAGCAGAATGGGTGGGGTTAATGCTTACAAAAGGAGACATCCAAAACATTATGGATCCAAAACTCTATGGTGATTATGACTCTGGTTCTGTCTGGAGAGCAGTTGAACTAGCAATGTCATGTTTAAATCCTTCTTCAGCTAGAAGACCAACAATGTCTCAAGTTGTTATCGAATTAAACGAATGTTTGTCATATGAAAACGCAAGAGGAGGAACGAGTCAAAACATGAACTCAGAGAGTTCAATAGAAGTCAGCATGAACTTTGATTTTGGAGCTACCCCTGATGCTCGTTAGACTGCAAGAGTCATTTTATCTTTGTTTTCTTGAGTGAAGTTTCTTTATTTTAAAGTAAGTTTTTGTAATGAATTTATGATTGATGAATGTGATTTATTGGAATCAAGATTAGTAACAACGACTCGATGAAAACGTAGAATTGGAAGTAATCTTAGTGGAAGAGACACAGCAAATTTCTAGGACGAGAAGCCAACATGTTTATACTTTCTTGTGATCAAAGTATCGAATCTCTAGATAGCAATAGGCCCGGGATGAGTCAAGTAGTTGACGGATATCATTGAGGGGAAGAAGCATCAGCCAATTGCTGGCTACGACCATCTTCTGTCTCTCAATTCACGTCATTGTTTGATATGACAGTGACTTGTTCTGTACGTTTCATTTATGGTTTTCTAGTTGACTCAATTACTTGTAATAAAAGAATTAATTAATATGATAGTTCCAACAAAAAGACATTACAAATGAGTTAAAAATTACTATTTTTTATAGTTTATTTTTATTACTATATCATAATTGTTCACCAAAATTGAAAATTTACTAGAGTCAAATTCGGTATCTGGTTGTGTATTCTAATTAAGTGCATATTAATTAGCCTATGGTAGGTATGTGGGATGATTAAAAAGATAATACTATTATAAAATTTTAAAAAGTAAAAAAAAAAAAGTTGAAATTAATTTCATTTTCTGAAATAAGAACAAGTTGAGGAATAAATAAAGTCAAATGAGGATGATAATAGAGAGTTATACCATATCATTTGATGATTGTGGACAACTGGATGTTTTTTTTTTTCTCAATTTAAGCGAAGAAGTTGCCAAGTTGATGAAATAAAAAATATCCAGCTTTCGTCACCAAAATGTATCCTCTGATTTGAGAAGATACTTTGTTCTTCCTTAATTTTGTAGGACTGCAAATAATAAATGGGCATGTGTGCTAATAAGGTAGTTGGTTTGATTTGCGGACCATATTAGAACTTTGGAGGGCCTTTCTCTTATGATTAGTAGGACCAAAACCTCGGATTTATTAAGATATATAAAAAGAGTAATTAAGGTTATGTCAAAACTTTCCAAAAATAGATTTCTTCAAAGGGACATCTTTGTCTAAAACGTTAACATGGAAACAAACAAAAGACTATAACCGTTCAATTAAAAAGTCAACAAGAATGATCAATCTCTCTTATCTCCCCAGCTTGCAACACCCATCGAATCCTGACTTTTTTGTTGTGTATTATATATAATTGCTTTTAAGAGTTTTCTGTTTGTTGGGATTCAACTTGAATATATGATTTTATGATATTAAATAACGGAATCATATGTTATCTACTAAATCATTTTGACTACAAATGTTGTTAGACGATATTTTTACCTTTTTCATAAGAAACTACCAAACCTAGTAGGTTGCATCTCCGATTGCGTCATTGCGTTGGTGACTAAATTTAACCTCAAGAACAAAAAAAAAGGACTATACTATGGTTTTGACTTGATTACCGTTACACGATGGACTTTAATTCTTTCCAATAGCCAGTTGCAATAGGCCTTACGAGACTCTTCAAAATGGAACCTTGGTTTAGTTTAATTAGACCGTTTTCTTCTCTTCTATGGAGTTCACGTTCTAAAAGGTTTTCATTGACAATCAAATTAATAAAAAAGAAATATAGGCATGCTTCAAGAAAAATCATTCCACCACCGAGATATTTACATGCGAAAACAAAAATTAAAATCATGTATATATGTTTATGTGTTCTTTTAGAAATGCAATAGGCACAAACATTTTAAAATGCGGAATTAAACACATCAAAAACATTTTAAAAAAATAGTTTCACATTTTTATATTCAAATAACATGTTTTATGTTTTGAAAATTCATTTAATTGGGTTTGGTGAAGTACGCGGATATAGAATAATTAACAAGCCAGCTCAAAGATCATGTTATTTTATTAATGTAAAAGAAGCTTAGAATTTGCACAAAAAAAAGCTTAGAAAAAATAGCATGTTATTTTGAAAATAGCATTTAAGTAAGTGTAAATTGCAAATAAATAAAAAGTTGATAGTCAATACCCCCAAGTCAAAAAAACACATCCATCAAAATAACATAATAAAATAAAATTAAAGGAAGGAGAATGTGTTTAAGGAGATTTAGGGACGAAATAAGACAAAAACCAAAAGACAAAAAAGAAGAATAAAAAGATGTAGAATGAGATAGAGAAGCATGTGGTGAGCATTTTAGGGTGTACGAGTCAGGTGAAGTTATATTCTCAAGGCGCACGCCTTCAACATTCTTAACTCTTACTAATCTCCATCCAAACTATGTTTTGTATTTAAACCAAACACAAAAACACTTATGTGAAAATAAAATTATTAGATGATAATAAGTTTCTTCCACTAACACTAGTCAGTAATTCTGAGTTCTGTTATTATATATTATCATGAAAATAACTCTAAAATCAATATTTTATATAAATAATGTTCCTAAGTGACACAAATTAAATAACTTGCAATATAGATATACATAGTTTACTTTACAGAGACAGACAGAGTTTATTGAGTACAAAAAAAAGAGGATGAATATGTAATTACTTTTATATTTTAGTACTCCAAAAGAGTTCTTCAAGTAAAGCTAAACTTTTTTTTAGAGATAGATAGAGGCACTTTCTAAACACTTTTGTTGATAATCATCGCTTCATAATTGCAATTCTCTTACGCTTTCTTTTCTCTAATAAAGTAATAAAAGGTTGAAAAATGTTGCAGAGACAGTAATTAACCTCTTGCGGCTCTGTTTTTCGCAAAAAAAAATTCAACCCTCGAATTCCACAGATTCTATATATATAAAAACAAACTTTATATAAAAAGAAATGCAAAACAAAGACTGGAAAGTGTAAACAACACTGCCCGACACCACCCTTCTCACAGAAGTTGCCTTTCTTGAGAACTGCTAAAACAATCAAGACGCCATGATTCTGTTGATGATGATGAAACTCAAAAGTTTAGAATCTGTCAATCAATCAAATCTGTAGATTTTTGTAATTGTTCAACACCCTGGATGATGGATTTGATTAGGGTTTTGCAATGGAAGAAAAGATGGGTGGAATAAGGGAAACGAAGGAGCAGAAGAGAAAGAGAGATTGGTTTGGTCAAGCTTGGGTCTCAAGTTTTCTAAAGCCTTTACTTGTGCTCGAAGGAACTTGAGATAATTAGCAGCTTCATCAAGCATTGAAGCTGTGTCCATCTTCGTCCCACCTGGAACTAATGTTTGTAAAACCCTAATCTTCTCACTTATCCTCTCCCTTCTCTGTCTCGCTGCAACCGTTTGAGGATCCGTCGATATCTTCACGTTCTTTCTCTTAGGTTTCTCCACAATCTCTAACCCGAAATTCACCGGTCTAAACGCAGCCGCTCTGTATATCATCTCCTTCATCTGCGCAATCGCCTCAGCATCGGGCTCGACATTGTCAGACAAACAAGTTGAATGTTGGAAGCTAATGTTTGAAGAACCGCCTCGTTCTTTCTCTGTTCTTGGTTTCTTTGATTTCGATTGATTCTCATCGTAGATAAGCTTGAAACCTCCTTTCTCCGAATCATCTTGAGGATGAAGAAGACTGAAGTGACTTCCTGTCTCGTCTCCTCTGTTTCTCTTCACATACTTAGGCTTTGTTGTTGTGGTTGTTGTCGTCTCAGTAGTTCCTCCATCTCCTCCTCTGTTTCTCTTCAAAGACTTAGGCTTTATCGTTGTTGTCGTCTCATTAGTGACCTCTCTGTTCTCAGACTCTGCAGATGAGACCCCACCAAAGCTCCAAAGAGTCTGACAATCTGAGAAAAGCACAGAAATCCCTTCATCGTCTTCCGTCGAAGTGTTGTTGCTGTTCGACGTCGCCGATAACAAACAATCGAGTGATGATGGATCTATCGAACTAGCTCTGTTTCCAACATGTTGCTGCTGTTGAATCTCACCTATGACTCCAAGATCAGACATGAAACAGCTGCTAAGATTCGGATTAATGAGTTGGTGGTGAAAAGAAGAAGAAGAACAGAGTTCTCGAGCCATTAGCTCATTTCCTCCCCAAATCAAATCTGATCCTTGATGATGCTCCATGATTTTGCTTTCTCGGGTCATTCCATACATAGCTTGAGCGTACACAGATTCCAATCCTTCCATCGGATCAAACACAATCCTAAGAAACACCCAAAACAAACACAAATGTCAGAGACATACTCAGAAACAGAGCTTATATGCAAACAGACATGAAACCTCGGATTTCTTGTTTCATGCAGAGAAAAATGATAAAAGCTGATCTTTAAACCAACCTTGTTGTAATAACGGCAGGACATGAAAAAGTGAAACCGGAAGAAGAGAACAAACAGATGAGTTCACAGGAAACTCTGAGAAATGCCTTAAAGAGATGGAAACCCAAAAGGGAAAGAAAGAGAAAACAGAGGAAAAAAAACAGAAAGAAGAAATGCTCAAAAAGGAAAGAAAGTAAAACAGTCTGTGCTGTAGAATTAGAAAGCTCTGTTTCTGTTTCTGTTCTGTTCTATAATGAGCTCTGCTAGAGTTATAGATGGTTTCTGTAAGAAAAGACTTGAAAGCCCTATACATACCCAGATTTGTTATTATGCTCATATATATATAGAATAAATATTAAAATATATTTGTATATTTATTATATATACAATAGTATTATTTAAAAAAGGTCCCAACTTTCGATGAGATCAATTGTTCCTCTGTATCAAGCACTAGTTCTGTGTACTTCTGTAGATTAGTATGGATGTTTAACTTTAAGAACTAGATTAATACCCAAGTCTGTTTAAATAACCCTATATTGATCATACTTTAAAACTTGTATTTATGTGAGCGCGAGCCGTCAAAAAAAAACTAATCTATAAGAGCATTTAGTCGGTAAACTAAACTACTCAAAAGATAAATTTTGCATTTACTTTTGAGGTAATTATTTTACCAAATTTTATGATAATCACATGATTTAGATGCAATTTAAATGATTTTTTTCTCAATGACATGCATTATGCAAACTCGAATATTGGTAGTGTTAGTGTATATATAAAAAAACAAAAGATAAAATGTTCGCTAACCCAACGTCAGCGACACGTTAAATTGAAGACGCCGGCGGCGACAACAACATTGCTTTTCTAGAAGAAAAAAATGTAAGATGATTTTTACGATATAAAAGTTGAAACCATTGGAGTTAATCTCTCTAGATCCTGTGATATCTCCAAGTGAGATCGTTGGATACACGACTATCATTACCGAAAATAAACGTTAGTGTTTACAACAAATCAATAACACTTCGAATCGAAACTTAATCGTCTCCTAAACCGGATTTAATTAATTAATTTAATCATTTCTTAATCCAAAATTATTTGAATTTTCATGGAATAGTACTTGATTCAAAATCAATGTCACACACGCAAAGAGAAAAGTGAGATCACTGATTCATTAACCTAAACGAATAAATAATGAAATTAATCTAAACGAATGAATTATATATTTATTTAAATGAGGTTGGTGTGCATAGTAGTTTCTGCAATCGAAGAGCATCTTTTTTTGAAACCCTAGAAAATAGATATAAATATTGATAAAATCATAGAGTATATGATTATGCACTTGATGAAAAGGGATATGTAATTAAAAATCTACGAGTGCTTGAGCAGAGAAAAAGGACTGACATCCTTTTAGCATCGTGCGAACTGAAAAAAAACTTTAAGGGAGAGATCGAAAGAAAGTTTTAGGTTTTGAATCCTTTTTTTTTTTGTGATCAAAAGATTAATGTTAATTGTATATATACAATATTATATTTAATCATAGTTTAATCGTAGTTGTAAACTTGTAATCATGATCAAGCTGTAAAAGTAATTCATGATTCTCTACCATTTTCTTATTCTTTTCTATGTGTTTGTTTAATTTACCTTTTCGCTATCATCATCAGTCAATAATGATCAATATCCACATCTCGATCTATATATCTTGTAGTATAGTTTATCTCCATTTCTTTTGGCTAGAACGTGTTATATTAATTTATACCAAACTCTCATTTTCTGGATTTTCTTGAACACTGGTTTATAATCATCATATCATAATCGATGTGGGATACTTTTTGGAGTATTTTTTGAAATATCGTAATTCTATCCATATACCTGTAGAAAAATAAATGATTAGTCGCTTCTCCATTCCCAAGTCCCTCCTCCTAAGGCTTGACATTACCAACAATCGAGCACCTAGATCAATAACGACGATATAGGTATAAATATAATGTATGAACCTAAATGGGTTTTCTTTATTATGTATTACATTTTTATAATTAAATATTTATAATATTAGGAATTAATTATAATTTCCTAATTAATATTGATTTTTTTAATTTTTATTTTTTTCAAGATCGTCAACAATCCATTAGTTATTTAACTGTCACATAAGTCGGTGATCCGTCGGTAATAGTAAAAGATCCCTTTTAAAGTTAAACAATCTTTTTTGGTGTTTCCGATGACAAAATTATGTGTCAGTATAGTTGGAATATTACCAACACATAATTTTGTTATTGGCGTTTATTTACCAACAATATTTTGGTAATATGAAAACATCGATAAATTATCATTACCAATAGATTCCGGTGATAACTCACCAACTTTCTAATAGCATATCTTACAGTACATCACCTCTAAATTTTTAAGACACCAAATTTAGAGTGTGTTGTTAGATTACGAACAATGAAAACTTATATGAATTGAATATTGTCTCAACATATATAACATTTTGAGAATAGTTTGTTTGTTTTATGATCTCATGAAGAAAAAAAAAACTTAATGATTTTATATCAATAATTGAGACCAAAATTTTATGGAAATTTTGTGGGGCTAAGAAGATATAGCAACATCAGTGGGGGAATAAAAGAAGAGCTTTTGGTTTGAGGGTAAATTATACAAAACATCGCAATCTGTAGAACGGTGAGAAAGAGAGAGCAAAGAAGGCGACATGACCTCTCTGCCCAACCACATGTCTACCATAATCCCACAGCTCATTCAATATTTTTTCCTTTATAATTGTCAACTTTGTAGTTTATATCATGTTTTTCACTCCTCTACGTTTTTTTTTATATACTTTCGGATATAAATAATAAACAAAAATGTTGGTGGATTTATTGCAGTAAGTATTACAACGGAGCTCTGTAATCATCACCAATCCTAAAACTATATAATGACTCATTTTCCTTGTAAAAAAGAACCAAAATAAATCTACAAACAATGTTTAACAGTGAAGAACAAGAGCACACAAATTATAAATATTTCGGAAAAATGTAACAACGTGTTATAGATGAAATAGTTGTAGCTACAAAAATTTTTAGATCCTTATAACAACTGTAAACGCACTTTAATTAAATCCTTATCAATATAAATCTCTACTACATTCTTAATTACTAGTTTTTAGAGTATATGCATAATGCCCTTAATGACCATATGGCTAGAGTTAATTTAGAGAATGATATTGATTTTTAATTTTCACAACGTTTTTATTTTGCAAAAAGAAATATCATAGTCATTTACCTAATTTACTCTCTTCATATGGGTAATCTACCGAATTCACCATTTTTTTTTATTGAATTTCTATTTATATCCACTTTTTAAATATAGATTAGATGATCAAACTCGTTAGTCCAATGTTGAGACTTAAAATGTGTAATACCAATATACCCAAGTTCTACAGTATTATACGGTATTAGAGAACATTAATAGAAATTAATATATCTTCCTTCAAAATATTATTCTGAAAATATCAAATTAATGTGTAAATCATATAAAATACTTAAGGATAACATAACTCAGTTTGCATTATATGCATACAACCATAACTAGCTAGTATATATAGAAGAAAATGAGTAAATGAAGATCAACATCAAATTCACAGTTGTTGACATCCTTAGGATACTCACAACGAAAGAGACCTTATTTTGTCCATACATGTGAACTCCAAATTTTTTTTTGAATAATACCAAAACGTATATTAATTGGGAGACCCATAAAAAACAAAAATTCTCAAATCAATATTAACTATTCTCACACCTCAATCGGGAACCAAAAATGTCGGTCGAGAACAACTTCTCAATTTAATTGACGAATTTGACTTCCCACGGTCATGTACCGATCCAATGTACCAAAATTGAAAGAAACCGACCATGTCGGTTTAATAAGTCAACTCAAGTCTAGTTGTGATAAAAATTAAACAGCGTTCATTACTAAATAATTTAACGTGTAAACCGGACGATAAATTTGCATGTAGATTCTAGCTAGGGTTTATATAGAATAAAATGATAAATTTAGATCTCTTAATGCTTCTTTATAAATACTATAAAGAGACTAGTGTATAAATAGAAATAAAGGATTTGTCGGGGGTATATGTCTATGATTCTGCACCCATGATTAAGAGATGAAAGTGGTCCATTATCTCACATATACATGTCAAAACAAAACATGAAACAAAATTTCTACGAGTTAAAGAGCAAGACGACGACATTTTTAGAAACCGATAACATTCTTTCTCTTTCAGATACATTGGCTCGGTACGGTTTAAATGGTCCAGACCGGAGCTGTACAGTAATCTAAGCTATCTGACTCTTCTTCACTCTTCTTGGCTCTTGCTCTCTCCCTTCCATTATTGAATGGTTCACACGTGAACACAACGTTCTCCATATGCACGTGGCTCTTCTTAATTGGTTGTGATCTTTGAGGATAGTAGTCCCACGTGGGAAATCAGCATGGCGTCATATTGTGGGGACTCGCAAGTTCTTCTTTTTTTTTTTTTTTGTTAAGGAGGACCCAAAATTTTTATTCATATTTCGTTTTTTTTTTTTTTTTTGGTAAAATATTTCGTTTTTTTGTTTTTGTTTTTTTTTAACCTTTTTTTTTCGTTTCCCTCTTGTGTATTGTAACATCACCCCGTTAATGAAATTGAATATTACTCCCTCCGTTTCATAAAGAGTCTCGTTTTAAAATTTTATTTTTGTTTCACAAAGAATATCGTTTTAGGTTTTCAATGCAAAATTTAATGATTTTTTATGTTTTATGACTATTAGTATTCTGCAGATTGTTTTACTATTGGGCAGATTATGTTTAGGTATATAGTTAATGATGTTTTTGTTTAGAAAAAACAAAAAATTTAATGTTTTCTTAATCTGTGTGTAAAACTCTAAAATGACACTCTTTGTGAAACAGAAGGAGTATCATGTAAGAATAAACGAATCTTGACAAGGATACGAGCTTCGATCATATTAATTGTACCTTGACAAACACATTCATTATTCATATACAATTTTTTTGTACTTGTAGCTCCATATATTATAACAACAATTTAGTTAAGGATACATTGTAAAGAATCAGAATTTTAAATCCTCATTTGAATCGAAATTTAAAATGAATTTTGTATCAAGCAAACTAAATTTAGTTTTTTCACATTATTATTTGTTGTGTTTGAAGTCTCATCAATGAGCGTCATCTGCCAATATTAAGCTTGACTATTTCTTTTAATTGTATTAAGATAAATATTTAAAAAGTTTGCTTTATAAAAAAAATTCATATTACAAACAATTATTGATGTAACTAATTTTTTTGTCAACCATGCATTTATATTAAAAAAAAAATTAGTAACCTAGTTCGGGAAATTTTTCTTATAAAAACAAATTCCGTAGTTTTATCTCTAGTTGAACGAGCTTAACAGTCAACTCTATTATAAATTTACTGAGTATAAGAAAAACGCGTAAAATGATAGAAATTTACCACAAAGCAAAGTAATCGAAAAGTTGTTGGAACTGAACTTATAATGTATACGTACATATTTGCTTATTTAAATTTCTCTAGTTACACAAATATAAGCAATGTCTGTTTTTTTTTTCTTTCCGTTAACAACATTCTTGAACTTGTGTAATGATATCACAAACATTAAATCATCAAAATCATCAGAGTAATTTTCAGTTGTCATCAATGAGATGACTCACACGGTCACACGGTGCTGCACCACTGTCTCCAAATATGCTGTCTGAAATCTAGCAAAAGGACCCCAAAGACTCACACTAAAGGAAACTAGTGGGCTCAAGCCCGCGTATGCACACGCTCTCTTACACACGTCTTGAGACGTCGACCTTCACGCGCGCTTCAGCACGTGGAAACTCATGGTCCTTCCTATGGGTTTTGTCCTAAACCACCCTTCGGTCCGACCAAACCGAGTAAGGTAAGAAAGACTCCGACCGAACACGCTTCTTCTCCCACAATAGTGTCAAGTGATTGTGATCAGAAACAGATATTTCGCTAAAGATTAGCCCAATTTAGGAAAGATGATGATGAAGTTAGCCAAGAGAGAGATAACAAAAACATGTGGCTGTGTATGTAAAAGACCGAGTCACCCGAACATCTCCACCTTCACGCCATTCTCCTACCACTCGGACCTAACCAACCAATACCCTCCACGTCATGTACAATCCGAGTTCCCGTGAGATAGGGATCTTTACTTGAAGCAACCAGACATGACCGCAGAGTCACACACACACACACCCCTAAGCTTTTTGTCGTCCCCTCGTATGGAATCCATTGTGGGGCGACACAAAAATATCTTCTTTTGCTTTTCTGCTTTCTTCTTCTTCTTCTTCTTAAAATTTGTTTCTTTCAGGTGGATTCTATCTCCATCTACATAAAACAAAAACAAAGTTATAATCTCTTTTGGATTTTGGTATTGATCTAAAGTGAGATTTCGATCTTGACACTAGGTTTTGGAAGGTAACCTAACAATCTCTGGTTCTGATTTCATGTCTTTAGGTTACGTGTAGGTGAAGGAATTGTTAATAGGGTTTGTTTGTGGGCGTAGGGAAAAGATGGGAGGAATGAAAGATGAAGCAAAGAGGATAACAATTCCTCCATTGTTCCCAAGGGTTCATGTGAATGATACTGGAAGAGGAGGCTTGTCTCAACCATTTGATGGCAAAACAATGTCTCTCATCTCTTGTAAACGTCCCAATCTTCCTTCTCCGACCAATATCTCTGATTCTCTTTCCACTTTTTCTTTGTCAATTCCTCCACCACCAAACAATGCCCGTCTTGTGAGTCCTTTCTTGATTCACTCATCTCACTTTCTTGATTTTGTGTGTCTGCAGATTTATATACAAGAATGGTGACAATGCATATTTTGAATATCACTTTATGACTTGTTGAATACATTTTATTAACAGATTGATGGACCTGAAAAGAATCAGCTTTCACCAATCTGCAACACAAAGTTTGAGGGGAAGATGAATAAAAAAGGCATGAATTATCCAAGTCCTAGAGGATCATCAGTTACTAATACTAAACCTAGTTCAATAAAACAAAATGAGTACCTCAAGAGCCTTACCAACCTGGATTCTATTAAGGTTCCTGATGTTAGACGCTCAGAAACAGATCCAAAAGCAAACACAGATTTGTCACTCCAGTTTTGTACTAGCAGTAGCAGTAAAGCCGGAGGAGAAGTTATTGGTTCTAAGATCCTTTTGTCAGAATGTTTGGAAGATGAAAGCCAGAATGGGTCTCCTAAGGTGATGCAAACTCAATTATATAGAAGAAACTTTGCTGAGTTTAGCAGTGAAACTCTAAAGAAGCCTAAAACTCTGCCTCGGCGTGAACAAGATGCTTCAGACTGCTCTGCAATAGACTCTATGTCTGGTATAAGTGCATCTTCTTATAATGTTGCCAGAGTGATAGGTGAAAGGAGGTTTTGGAAGATGAGAACGTATATGATCAAGTTTGTCTCCTCTCACTTTTCTTGTGATTCCAGCTTCATAACTTTTGCCATATTCCAGCATCATAACTTTTACCATTTTTCATGTTGATATTTTCAGTCAGCAAAAGATCTTTGCCGGGCAAGTATTTGAGCTGCATAGACTCATAATGGTAAGCTGATACTTATTGTTTCAATAGAATATGGTTTGCTTTCTATGCTTCAGCTTACTTAACACGATGCAGGTTCAAAAGATGATTGCGAAATCGCCAAACTTGCTTCTTGAAAGTAAGCTTAATGGCGGCAAACATGGGACAATGAGGTCATCCCATCAGCTGACAATGGCCGCTTCAAAGATTAAAAAACCAAACATTGAGAATCACAAACCTGTACCTGAAGAATATCCAGAGCATATGAAACCAAAGCTTCCTCTACCTTCCATAAGCAAAGAACTCGTGACCCCAATTTGGCCACAACAGCTACTTCCTCCTCCTGGAAACCAATGGTTAGTTCCTGTAATATCTCCTTCAGAAGGTCTGGTCTATAAACCATATGCAGGACCATGTCCTCCTCCTTCTTCAGCCTTCATGGTTCCAGTTTATGGCCAAGATTCCATTGAGACAGCATTCAGGTTCCCTGTTTCTTCTCAATTTAGCCACAGCTACTTCCCACCACCTAACGCGAGGACAACAGTTGACCAAACAAACCCGTTTGGCCAGTATCAAAGATGGTCTAACACATCAAGCCACATGACTCAAGCCATACCATTTTCCTTAAAGAAGTCTCAGGAATCTAATGACAGTGACATACATGGAAGCACAGCTTCAAGTCCACCAGAGAAGCATAAATTTGAAGTGCTTCCTCTGTTTCCTACAGAGCCTACCCATCAAACTGATGAGTACAAGGAGAAACAGCAACCGGTGCTTCGTGCCATTAAAGCCGTTCCTCATACTTCAACATCTGCCTCTGAATCTGCTGCAAGGATCTTCCGTTCCATTCAGGAAGAAAGGAGGGACTCAGATCATATGATTAGTTAGTTTTTTATATTTGAAAGCCTTCCACATTCTTTTGCTCTCATTGCTTCTTCATCTAGTTTAGATTTTCAGTATATTCTATTTACTCTTCTTATGAAGATGTAAATCAAATACTGTCACTATACATCAAACATACACATACACATATACACATTTTACATTTTTATTGTATTGACAAACAGCTAATAAAAAGATAGACTTTTGTGGTTCTATTAATTTCTATAGTATTATAGTTTTGAAAGGGTTTGACAATGGAACAAGAAGATTCTGATACTCCTCGGGACTTGAAATATGTAAAGTTAAAGATTTTTTTAGCCATTGAAGTATCTATATTATAAATGTGGAAGGAGACAGTAAGGATCAGTTGTGTCCATGCTATACGAAGAACATTTCAGAACAAAAACCAAGAACCAAGAATAACACAAGATAGATTAGTTAGAACCCAAGAACCTTTGGTGCAAGTTTGAGTAAAGGCTCCAATGCGCTTGGCGAAAACTTTCTTGCAAAAAGATAACACACTTGAGATGGCTTATCATTGTAGAAGCAAGCTTGACCTCGTGAAAGCTTCTTGAGGAACCTCTCTGTTATATCAGTTTTGCCAAAAGTAGCTGGATGAGCACCACCTCTTGACCAATCTGTCCATGTCAATGTCCGATTAGCGAGCAAATCCGAATATCCAATAGAGAGCATTGTGGGGAAGTAATGTTCATCTACATAACAAGGAGGTCTACAAAACTCTTTGAATTTTTTATAGTAAACCATGTCTTCAACAATTTCAACAGCAAGTGCTCTGTTAATTTCAAACCACTGAGACCCTTTTCTCCACTCGCTTAGACTGACTTCTGGCCCCATTGCATAACTGTATCTGCCTCTCCCGTAAGGACCGTCCTCATCAACAGAACCCATGAAACTATATCTTGATCTAGAGACATAATGGTAGACAAAGTTGAAACCGCGAATAGGAATGCACGCTTCAGATAGCAAAACAAACCATTCGTTAGAGATATCGAGCAAGGCATTAGCCAAAAGCCTCCTTTCAGCATCACACATACTCATCTCTCCCCAAGCCACTGGCTACACACAAATAAAGAAACTCCTAAGTGAAATAAACTAAATGAAGACACAAGAAGCAACATTACACTGATCAACAAAAGTACCTGACTTGGGATCTGTCTTCTATAAAACACAGATGAGCTTGGGAAATCTGATCTATAATCTGGCAACGCATGAACATAGATTGAGTAAAAGCCCTCATGCCCGTTGAAAAACCTTTCCCAAAGTGGAGCAAATGGCAAAGGTCCTTTGGTGAGAAACATGAATGCCATTTTAGGAACCCTTTTATACGGATATTCAAGTATCCGTGGCTCCATCGAAGCACGCCAAAGAAGCTCACTGTCATTCATGGAGTGCCAAACACTCGATGGAGGCTTGATAAAGCTCTCTAATGTAATTCTCTCATCATAGGGAGAGATCAATGTGGATGGAGCCAAAGTTTGAATATTTAAGTACTTGATCATGTGCATACTAATGACTGAGATTCCAAGAACCAAAACAAAGAACAACAAGAAAACCTGAAGCACCCGCATCGGTAAAAGAGCTTTAAATTGGTTTGTATATCTTGAATTGGGAGCTGATGCAGCATTATCCTTAATCCCTTCCTCCATCCCCATCAGCTTCAAGTTCTTGATGAACAGAACCAATCCTGTTAATATGTTACTGACACAAGAAGAGGAACACAATTAGATTGTCTTCCATAAAATTTTTCACAAATCTCAGTAGCACTGAAACCAATCAGACAAGAATGAGGATTTACCAAATAGGGTTTTGTCCGGAAACGTAGGCAAGCGAAAACGTACGAGAAGTTCCAAATTCTAATCTAGCTCCTGTTGTTTTAGAAGAGCAGAGACAAAGAATGAAGAATTTGATTGGAGACGAAAAGAAAGATCGAAACTTTGAATGGGAAACTTTACCAAAAAAAAGGTAGAAAATTAGGATTTGGATCTTCTCAGACACGCAATTCGTTCAGCTGTCGGATTCGTTCATGATTTGTCTCTCGTGAGCAGGGAGACGTGTAAATGGAGCTTAAGTCTTGTCTGATGATCGTATTCGAGGGATGTCTCTGTAACTCTAATCTGATTTTGGTATCTACTTTTGGAAACAGAGAGCTTAAATGTGAGAAACTCGGTGAAGGAACATATTAAAGCATTAAACCCTAATTAGGACATTTGTATATCTGTTGGTCTCTTCTTCTGTAACTGACGGTCTTAGACGTTTTATTAAGTACAATTTAGACAAACGTATTTAGACTAACAATTCGGAAACATATGCTTCATTTAATTAATAAATTCTCACCGTATATTATTCCTAATTAAGTAATTAACCAACGAACTGCTTAATATGGGTTTTGGGTTCACATTCTTTTAATTTTCCAATGTTTTTTACTTCTACAGTTTGGTTAAATCTGTTTTATTTAGATTCAGTTTTCTAGCAAGTTATATTATATATCAACTTGGGGAATTTAAAAGTTTTTTCCGATTTTCATAGCTAATCAGTAGTTTGCCGCTTAAAAACAAAAACAAAAATCTGATTCCAAAGTTGATATCAATAGAAAAAGTAAAAGAGGCATACATACCCAAATTGTTGGAATATGAAAGTTGTTTTTGTTCAAATCTTGTAGTGGGAACAGAGCTTTTAGAAGTGAAACATTGCAAGACTTGTTCTCTATATAGTCAAGTACGATTCTATTCTATTCCAACGATAAATTGATTATTAATCCACAAAAGATAAAGAGCAAGAAGTATGATTAAAATTTGAGTGTCTCACTGTCTCAGGCTGCTCATTTTTATAATTTAGCAGGTTATATAGGGTTTATCTATCTTTTTTTTCTCTGTTAAACCTCATGGAAAATCTTCGGTTATATGCAAATTAAGCTGCAAAAAAATGAAACCAAAGAAGATGAGATATCAAACTATACCATAGAATGATAATTAACATAAGAGTCATAGAAGAATTGACATCCTTTCTTATATAAGTATTGTTTGTAGCCATGATATAATCCAATCCTTAAGCAAAATATATTAAGAAGGATGAAAACATCCAAAACTATCTAAGAACAAAAACCTCGTCAGATTCAACTACACATGTGCAATGCAGGTTCTACCTAATGGACACAGGTTCATGAAGAGGACAATAAGGCAGCAGGACCTGTACGGAAAATGACCTTTGTACATTACCAGTCCTGGCCCTAAAACCAGTATTGTGAAAGGTTCAGCTCCTACGTGTGTTTCCTACACTACACTATGTTTTCAAGTTTTCTATCCTATAATTTCTTAATCCGTCCCGTGATTTGTTTTCTAAAAGTAGTAATTTTTAAAATTTAACGATTATTTATTATATATAAAAGTTTGCAAATTGTATCATTTTCTAAGATATTTATATTTTATAGTTTACAATTGTTAGTAAGTAACATTATACCACAGGACAATTTTTGGTTTTATACAATCTTTTCTAAATGAGACTGATTTAATATGTATAATATTGGTGGTATTAAAAAAAAAATTAAGGATATAATCTGTATTGAAGCGGCAGATTAATGATATTTTAATCTTTTTATTATTGTTGATTCAAAAACCCGTCCCACCAAACCCGTCCGGCCAAAAAACTCATTTATTTTATTAATGTTGATCTTATTTATGATATGATTCTGAATCATTGTCTAAATATTTTAATCGATGTAGAACATTGAACACACATTTTTGTCAATTGGATAATATATGTCCGTTTTAAAAATTTTGAATCACAGTGAATATGCCGAAAAAAAATTTATTTGTTTTTTATACTTTATGTATTATATGATGATTCAAAATAGTTAAAAACAAATCAAACAAAGATGATAAGAGAATCATAATTCTAAATCTTAATCAAATCTTCTAAATATCTAAATTATTAAATATGAAATATCCGGTGTATGAGCTGAGTTAAATATAACTCGACCCAACAAACTTTTTATGACCAAAATTTGTAAACGGGTCGGATATCTTAAGTATCTGAGAACAATTTTACCCACCCGACTCAAAAGTGACTGCAAAAATAATTTTAATCAGCATTCATTACCAGTTGCGAAACGCTGTCGTTATGGGTTTAGTATGTGATTAGGGGTTGACGCAAAAACGCTGTCGTTTCGACATCCATTCACGCCCTTCTCTTATCGCAAATTCTGAAATTAGCACCCGACTCGAGCTCGGTTTCAATGTTGGCCACGACGCCTGTTCATGGACTCAGGTACGTAGTTCCCACACGCTCATGGCTTCAAAGGTTTCGTTGCTGCTCCTCTTCTCTCGCTTCTCTCTCTCCTTCTGAATTCTCCGGCGGTAATAAAACCCAGAAGAAGCTCAACGACGAGAACATCAACGGAAGCAATGAGAAAACGGCGCCGTATTATCCGAAACGAGGGCAGACAGTGGAGCTTGTGTGCGAGAGTTTAGGATTCAAAGGCAAAGGAATCTGCAAAGTTGATGGAACTGGCTTCGTCGTTATGTGTGACCGAGCTCTTCCCGGCGAACGTTTTCTCGGCCGTATCACTCGCCGCAAAGGCAGCTATGCTGAGGTTTAATAAAAACTTCACCTTTTTTAATTCAAATTACGAATTTTTAGTTATAAAGTTACGATTTTTATTTTTGATTTGTTGTTGTTTGGTTGTTTCTGTTACTGAATTGACTCTTTAGGTGACAAAAATCAAGACGATATCTCCACATAAGGACTTAGTAGAAGCTCCATGTGAGTATGCATCTTACTGTGGTGGTTGCAAAACTCAAAATCTCTCTTATGAAGCTCAGCTTAAAGCTAAAGAAGAACAAGTTCATGAGCTTATCAGACATGTTGGAAGGTTTTCTGATAACAATCCTGGCCTTGAGATTGTGTTAAAGCCTATTGTTGCTTGCGATATCCAATTCAATTATCGGAATAAGGTTTGATTGATTGTTGTCTAATGTGGTTATTGGTTGGTGCTTTGGTTTGAGACTTAGCTGCTTATAAATGTTGATATTATGAATTAGATGGAGTTTTCATTTGGTCCACAAAGATGGCTTCCGATTGAAATGTTGCACGAGAAGGAAGATGGTCCTAAGAACTTTGCGTTGGGGTTACACGCACCTGGATTTTTTGACAAGGTTTTGAATGTCGATAAGTGCTTATTACAGAGCGAGCCAGGAAACTTGGTATGGTGAAAGCAGTTATACAAAATTTTGATTTTTATAGTAGAGCTCTCCTTTCAGAATCATTAATAACCTTTTTTTTAATCCAAATAGGTTCTTGCTGCTGTCCAAGATTGCTGGAGAGATCCTGCATTAAGTCTTTCACCATATAATTGTCGTTCACATGTTGGATTTCTTAAACATTTGATGCTGAGAACTGGAAGGTATTAAAGGTACTTAAATCATATTGTCGATAGAATAAGCAACTTGTTCTTGTAGTATAAGACCAGTAACAGGGATTTGTGTGTTTGTCATGATGACCTAGAAATGATGGAAGTGAAAATGATAGTTAAATCTGTGCTTGATCTTATTCGATTGTTCTTTCATTGCACTAATTTTCGTAATGTTTTCGTGTGATCAAACTTGACCATAGGAATGTGGAGACAGGTTCACTAGAACTTATGGTCAATTTTGTGACATCGTCTTATGAGCCAGAGCTGTTGAAGCCCCTGGTTGATAGGATTTCATCAATTCCTCAAGTGGTTAGTACTGAATCCGATTTGCTTCATTCCTACAACCCTTAATCGAGAGCATTTTTCTTGTCTTGTATTTTAACAATTCGATACTTTTTTTTTGGCTTATGAAAATACAGGTAAGCATCATGAATAATGTAAATTCGTCGGTAGGAAATACATCTGTTGGTGAAAAGGAATATACTCTTTACGGGAAAGATACAATCACAGAGGTTTTAAGAGGCCTTACATTTCAAATTTCTGCCAACTCTTTCTTTCAGACTAACACTCATCAGGTATATGGTACCACTAAGTAACATGATTCCTTTTACACTCCAAACAGTAATCACAACATGTTGAAAATAAAATGGTGTTCACTGTGTAGGCTGAAGTTTTATACAAGCTTATTGAGGAATCCGCTGGACTTAAAGGAGATGGCTCAGAAGTCGTGCTCGATCTTTTCTGTGGAACTGGTACCATAGGCCTTACACTTGCCCGAAGGTAGAACAATGAGTTTAAAGTACTATCAAAGATTAGAAATAAAATTGCAGTTTTGTACCGTTGCTGATTGTTCAGTCTGATTCTCGTCCTTAAAGGGCGAAACACATATATGGTTATGAAGTAGTACCACAAGCAATAACAGATGCACACAAGAATGCCCAAATAAACGGCATAGAGAATGCAACATTCATCCAAGGGGATCTAAACAAAATAGGAGAAGATTTTGGGAACAATTTCCCTAAGCCTGATATTGTTATTTCTGGTGATAATCTTCTTCACATAGTTACATTTCATCTAGCTTCAAATACTTTCCAGTCTACCAATCGTAAGAAGTGTTTTTTTACAGATCCTAATCGACCTGGTATGCACATGAAGTTGATTAAGTTTCTGCTAAAGCTTAAATCTCCACGAATCATTTATGTTTCCTGTAATCCTGCAACCTGCGCTAGGGATCTTGACTACCTCTGTCATGGCGTGGTTAGTATCTATGCCTTCTCTTGAATCTTTTCTCTATAAATAATTTGCGAAAGTAATCAACAAAACTTGGTGATGGAAACGTAGGAGGAGAAGAATATCAAAGGTTGCTACAAACTGATGAGTGTTCAGCCAGTGGATATGTTCCCTCACACTCCTCACATTGAATGTGTCTGCTTTCTAGAGCTTGCTTGTGACCATGGCTGCTTCATTTGATCTCTAATCAGATGAGAGATAAATGAAAACAGAGATTTTATAGATTGAGGGAGTTTTTGGTTTTCCATTAGAGTTAAGTCTCTTTAATCTTTTTCATCGAGTTCTTTAATAGTATTCATAGACAAGAATGTAGACGTTTTTAAAAAAGGTAAAATCCCACCAAGGCAAGTGGTCTTAAGAGTTAAGATTAGACATTTATTATAAAACGAAGAGAGGAACAAAATAACAATCATTAGTGAATCTGCTTGTACAAGTTTCATGACTTCTCAACATCTTTTGAAATACGATAATTTTCACTAGGAATGATTAAACGAATGGGGGAGCTAAATCAATCTTCGAATAAGCTTTCTTCACCTATGTCTTAATCTTGTTTTCTCGAGCTAAGTTGACGAGCATAAGCCGCAACACGCTTTGCCCACTTGACGATCTCTGCCTTGACCTTTTTGGAATCCATACGATTCAACGACAATGGTTTCTTCTTCTCTTCCGTTGATGAATCTATGAACGAGAATGACAAGCATCGATAATAATGACTCGACTTGTGGCTTTCATTGTTCTTGCTCTCTAAAGCCCGTTTCTTTAGAGACATGTCAAAGATCTCCCAAGTTTTGAGTTATGAGGAGACTTTTAATATAGACAGACGCAGACAAAAGAAAGATAGTCTTACAAGTTATTAGACTTCATGATAGTTAGGGTAAAAGACGTGTAACCAAAGCATGTTTGGTTGTGTTCAAGTTTGACTTTGTCAACGCATATTCTTCTCTTCTCGTTACTTCGTAAATGGTATCTTTGTTTTCATTCTCTTTTCCAATTAAAACTTGTGATCTGACTTTTCTTTGCTCTCTTTCTTTTTGAACAGAGTCTCAAACCTACCAAGCAAAACTTTGTGAGGGTTTCAATTTGAAAAATCAGCCATAAGAAAACTTTAATTGGATTACAAAGCACAAATTGTTTCATCAAACAGAGATCCTGTGAAACTTACCAATGTGTTACCATAATACAGAAGAAACAAACAAAAAACATATGGCTAAAAAGTGTCTTCTCCTTTTGAGTTTGACAAGTTTAGAATGCAATCTGAGGTTTTTCTTCTTTTTTCTAAAATTACACCTCCAATCACTAATTGCTATTGCTAATATTTACATATACAAGTTCACTTCCATATTCTTCTCTCTTGTTCTTTCTCACAAGGCCTATATATCTCTCTGTATTGTACAGAAAAACCATCCATCACCCTCTAAAACCGGGTAATTTAATCTCGGTGAATGCTTAAACCGAGGTAAATGATCGTAGGAAACAAATGGCAGGACATAGAACAGAGACCAAACTCATCTCATTCTGTATTGCCTGCAGATGGTAATGATCGGTGAACTTGTCTCGCTGAGCCCTTCACTGCTTCGTTTATCCTACTGAAGACTACTTTCAGAGGGATGCACGCTACAATCCGTCCTTTTGTCTTCTCTATCATTACCTTTTTCTTGCTGCTTACTGTCAGCTTCTGGCCACTTAGAGCGGAGAGACACCTTGTCTTTATGGCTAGAGAAGAAGATTTCTTTGGCTTTGATGTCTGTGGAGGAATATGTGGTTTCTTTTTCTTGGATTTCTTTTTTGATGATGGTTTTGGCTTCGCATCATCAATTATATGACTACTCACAATGTGGCCACATGATCCATCTTCAAGCACTTCAACCGCTGAAGGATGCCCGACAATAGCTTCACCATTCAGTTTACTCCTAAGGGAAATCAGCGGAACATTACGGGGTTTATAGTTAGCTTTTACCTCGATCTTCACGTCATACAGTTCAGAATTTCTTCCCATAGCTTGAGTGCCAACGCTGAAAAGACCGTGTGGCTTTTGATCAGAGACAGACCAATGAGGTAAAGATTTGTTGTTGGCTTCTTCGGCGTAAGCATTTCTTCTTTCTTCTTGTTTTTTACTCATCTGCCTTGAATTCCTTTTCCCTTTTAGCTGCCATTTTGAAGTGCTCTTCTCAATCCCATTGAAAAGTGTAGCTGCTGGACTTGTACTAGGAGATCCTTCGTTTTTCACCACATCATCATGGCTACTCTGACCAAACCTTCTCGTCGGTCCAGAGATAAGAGCCTTCTTGGGTGAAGAAGATGTGAAAGGCGCCGTCAAAGTACCTGGAACAAGAATGGGCGTTGTTTTAAGTCATGCTGATCACAAACCAGAAAAAAAGAAGCCACCAAATCCGATCTAATTGATCAAATGTTTGATCCTAACAGCCAGAGAAAGAAATGATAGCAGATAACCATCTTACGCCAAGACCAAAAACACAAAGAAACAATTAGCCATAGACAAGTCAAAATTAGAATGCATCCCAAATATTTACTAGTCACTGAGTTGAACACAGAATTAAAAAAAAAGCATCCATTGCCCAAACAAATAGTCACTAGTATTCTGTCCCGGGCAATTTTTCCAAACATTAGTCTAATAAGCAATTTAATCCATCATGTCACAAATCCAATTGATGACTTTTCCGTGCTTTTCTGTGTTCTCTCTTCCTAAAAATGGAGACATTCATCTTTTTTCCACTAATAGTAACAGAAGTGTGAAAAAACATAGACACCCTGAAAATGTATCTCAGATAATCCATTGAACAAAGATAGACACACTTCAAAACAGACCATTCAATTACCAGAGCTTGTATAAAAAAGATTTAGCCATTTATACCTGCAGGGTATTTTTCATCTCCATTTAGTGGAACATCAAATAATCCATTGGATGAGGCATTCTTTGCCAAAACTGATATGTTGGAGACTTCACTCTCTTTCCCCTTGTCATTGATCACTTCAACAATATTTGCAGAAGCATTTAGTGAAACAGATACATTCTCAGATAAAACCTCATTGCTGTCCGAGTTATTATCGCTTTCAGAAAACCCAGGAAGAGGCAAACAATCAGAATTGACAAGTTTGTCACCAGTAACAAGGACAGACACCATAGCTGTACTCTCTAACACTTTTGTCAGTGGCCGTCGTCGGTTTTTCCTTTTAGAGTAGTCATTCGCATTGACGACATGCGACTTTTTTCTTTTCATTGACGGAGAGCAATCCCTGCTACTACCATTGGAAAGACTCCCATTTGACACAATATCATTGATATTTGTATCACTTTTACAACCATTTTCCAGCCTATCCTCGAGCAGTGCACCGACCTGTACTTTTCCTTTGGATCCTATACCTATTCCAATATCCTCAAGTCCTCTCATTCGTTTGTTTCTTTCAATCCCATCATCTTCCGAGTCATTTGGTGTTCTTCTTCTCTTCTCTGACGAAGGCTGCACCTTCGAAGCTTTGCCATTGTTGGTTTTTTTTAAAGACAAACTAGATTGCAATGCAACTTCAGTCTCTGCCACATCGCCGGAGTCCTCAATGCCCTTCCTGGAATAACACCTTCTAGGACCCTCGCCAAGCGTAGCAGCCTTCTCAGTAGACGACTCTGGGTTATCTTTAGCAAGGTGTGCACTCTCAATCTCTAGAGCATGGGCAATAGCATCTTCTCGACGAGCATACTTGACAGCCTTCTTACCAGTAGTCGAAGCAGTAGCCCTTGCTGTCTCAATACAAGCATCATACTCCCCACAACGAAACGCCTTAACTCTCTTGGACTTTTCAAGATTATACCAATCCCTGGAGAGACACAACTACTTAATATGTTGTTAAAGAGATCAAAAAGTTGTCCAATTTGGATCAATCTTTCATGAAGCAAAATCATATTGACAATGATAAAAAAGCAAGGCAAAAAGAGCAATCAGTCAATTGATGGAAGAGGGTTAGTACTCACACGCTAGCATCGTCACGACCTAGAAGCTTAATAGGAGTACCAGATTTAGGAGAAACAATAGTACCGTCAGGAACCTCGTGATGAGCCATAATCCGACCCGGCCACCAAGACCCGTTACGACGTCGGACCCAAACCAAACCTCCTACCGACGCATCAATCGCCTTACAGTTTCGCTCATCACTACTCCCCATCACCCTCGAAGCACAACAAAACCCAGAAAGCTCCCAAAATTGAATCTACAAATTCTAACAGAGGTTCATCCCCATCAAAGTCAATCTCTTCCCAACATGAAAAAATCGAAGCCCACGAGTTGTGAGACTAGTTGCGAAATAGGTTTATTGAAGATCAACGACCACCGGAAAATAAGAGATCCACTTAGTCTTGGGGAATACAGAATACTCTACGACGCTTTCTTCTTTCGGTTTTTTTTTTTTCTATCAATCAGTAGCAGAGAGAGAGACCGCTGTTTTTTATTGAAGGGTTTTGGGGCTTTCTCCTCCTTGAAGAAGAAACGCAGATATACAGAAGACGCCGGAACACGGGAGCAGAAAGACACAGAAAACAGAGAAAAAGAGACTTCCTTTTTTTTCTTTTTTTGGTCCGACTTTTTGATACCAAAAACGAAGGCCAAAGGTAACAACGAACAAAACGGCTGCGTTTTAGATTTTCCTTTAGGTTACTTTTTTTGTTTGCCTCTACAATACAACACTGTCATTTCGATTTATGCAACAAAGACAAATTATATATCGGACTTGTTGTACCCTGGCGGTGTCGGTAAAACGCGTACCGCCAGAAAATGGTAACGCGTACCGCCAGAAAATGGTAACACGTACAATCATCCTTACTGTTATATATCACCGATCAGACCTTCACATGGAATACCAGAATGCCATGATGACTTACTTTTATCAAAGTTAAATTAAAGCAGACAGCCAGAAGAATCTACATTGATCTTGATACCCATGTACATATTAGTTTATCCGACTGCTCCAACTAAACCAACTGTATGTAACAAATTTAAAGACCAATATAATCTATCAAAGCTCCTCCCTAAGTACAAGTCACACAAAATTGGGCCTATGAATCCTTTCTAATTTCACAAGATTAAAAAAAAAAAAAAAAAACACAGCTAATTTTTCAATCTATCAAACACCTCCTCTTTTCACCTCTGCGTATGAGGTCCAGAGAGTTTTTGGTTCAAGTTTCCATCAATCTTTTCCATGAGATGATGCATAGTCTCTCATTCTTTGTTTCAGTTCCTGCAAGAGGTAATCTTAATTCATTAGTATCAATCCATGACGAATGCTGAGGGAGATGAAACAACCCAAACTCCGGTTTATACGCGGGAGTTTTGTAACTCACCTTCAATTCTTCGTGGAGAACAACAAATACTTTCTTCAAACGTTTGTGCCTCTGCGTATTGTGTGACATACAACATATAAGAAAGCCATCATCAAGTATATAATAAAGGGCAATCAAAACGGGGGATAAATGCTCAAGTATGAGTCAAAAGCAAGTATGGCAGAAAAAACTCGCATGATCGGATCGGTAAATTAAATGCACATAAGCTGAGAGATTCCCTTTCAATATATAGTTACTTCTTCTCACTCTCCTATTCCTATGCTTTATTTTTTCCCTTGCTTTGTCAAAGATCAGATCAATCTAGGTAACAAGTAGACATGTTTCCCACCCCAAATCCAATTTAACCTATTACCTTATGCGATAACATTCAGATCCTTATGTCTTTCATATTTTCCCAAATCGTACACAAGTAAACAATTTTATCATTCATCATCCTCTTTGGATGAGAGGTCTGTCTCCAAATTTCATTTTACATATCCAAATTTTTATATGACACTAGAAATTCATCTGATGCCAGGAAAACTTCAGTAAATAAGTTGAGATCTATCTTCAAAGATATTAGAAAAGTTGAATATTTTGGTAATACAAAAATATAAGAGATAAATAGGTATTAAGTGGTTAAAGATAGAAGATTACCTCCCCATATTTGCAATAAGATTCCTTTATCTGCTCCACAATTTTGTTATATCTCTCCACATCCCTTCCTTTTGCAAACCCAAGGTCTTGCCCCAACTTTTGAAAGTCATTTCTGCGAATAATGGAAACATAAAGTTCAAAAAAAGCTGATAATCTAGGACAACACAAATGATCTGAGAGTTATAAAAAAATTCATCTAGCTACCTGTGGCTCTCTAATATCTTGTTAATGGAGCAGTAGCTATCATATTTATCAATATATTCCTGCATGTAGGCTTTATACCTGAAACAGAAAAACATTGTTATCTACTCAAAACATATATACTACATAACTAGATTTCCAAAAATTGAAGTTTCATTTTACTTACTGCAAATGATCACTAATGGGTCCCTTCAGCTCAGGAGAAGCTTTCTCGTATTTCAAATAAGAAGAGTCTTCTTCACCGAAAGATGTCATTCGTTTCTCCCGGACAACACTGTCACCTGGTATTGAAGTTGCATCTTTGTGTCCATTGATAGAATTTGAGACAGACGCATGTCTTTTGCTCTCCCTTGATGAGCGGGATGTGGACGCTCGTTTGGAGCCATGCTTTATAACAGGCGTTTTTTTGTTTGTTTCTCCATAACCTTCCACACTGTTTCCTACTCTTGCTCTACTATCTTTTTGTCTGGATTTATAAGCTGCGTCCTCTAAATTTTTATTCTGTGACCCGATTTCAGTATCTGTACCAGTAAGGTTCTGCCCATGTGACTGCAAAGCCCACTTTTGGGATCTTTCTGAATCTTCAACAATGTGTTCGGGCAATTCTTTGATACAATTGACTGCATGTGGAGGAGCTGACTTTTTTGAGTCAGATTTTTTAGACCTTCGTTTATCCGTGTCAATACCCGATTTCTCTGAAGTGCTTGGTTTTAAATTTGACTGCCTAAACGAAGTTTTATCTTCGAGTGGCTTCAATGCTGTATCTTCACCCAATGGCTCAGGGAGTTCACCCAACTCCAATTCCGAAACTTGTTTTTGGAGGACAGATCCATTTTCCTTAGGTGATTTCGCCAAATATGTTCTCTGGCTATCTAAGGGAGAAGAACCTATGCTCAAGCCTGAAACATTCTTGGGATCCTTGTCACTTCCATCCAGTTCACCGTGCTTTCTATCGGATGTCTCGGTAGGTAACGAAGGTCGAATGGCTGACTCACCATCTTTTTTATTCCTTGGAAATTTATTTTTCAAATGAACATCATCTCTTTGATTGTCCCTGAAGGCCTTTCCTGACCGACTAGAAAGCATTTCATGCGGAAAATGGTCCCCTTCGTCAGGTTTACGAACATTTCCCAAGGCATCAGAATGTTTGTTTGATTTACCTGAACTATCAACAGGCTTCATTTGATCATGTCTATTCGACTTTTCAATAGATGACTTCTGGAGTCCTCTAAGTGGATCTATCGTTTGACTCGCAGAAGCGTTGCGAAGTTCTGCATCATACTTGAGCTCTGAACGCTGTGAATCTTTACTTATGGCAGGTAACTGATTGCAGCTCTGGGATTTTCTATTTTTCTCTCGTGCTGATTTCTGACTGTAGTGCTCAAAATCAAGGGTTTTTTGGTTCTGGTCTTTTGCCAGCCTCTCGGAGATGTCACGTTTGTCATTTTTAAAGTTATCCTTTGTTGTATTCTCTGTGTCATCAAACAACTGTCCAATAAAATTTTGGCGCTCTCGTAGGTTGTCGTGACCAGAAGCAAAATGTTCCTGCCCTGAAATGCCAACTTCTTCATTTGCAGGGGGACTGGTACCAGTTGCTGTTTCTGTTTTCCAGCTATTACCAGAGAGTTTTTTTCTGTCAGCTTCAGAACCATGACCCTCATCTGAACTGTTCCCCTCGACATCAACTGCATCAGACCCATGACCATCAATATCAACTGCATCAGAATCATGACCGTCAATGTCAACAGCATCAGAATCATGACCCTCGATTTCAACTGCACTAGAACCATGACCTGGGAGATCAATTGCACCCTGTTCAGCGGACTGTATTGTCAGTAGAGGCTCTCTGTCACCATCACTCATGATATCCACGTCCTCATCAGAACCGTCCTTACTGTTAGAAGAAGCCTCACTATCACTGCTGCTCCCACTGTCACTTCCAGCTGCACTTTTACTGTCACTCCCACTGTCACTGTTATCACTATCACTGTCACTATCACTAGAGCTACGAGCCTGGCCTTCACTATTCTCGGATCGTTTTTCCTCATGAAAAAGACCAGGTGAATGATGCTCAATGTCAACATTTTCCTGCGTACTCAATTGCTCTGTTAGATGCACAGCTAAACAGTCTAGTGAACCTTCTCCGTTCTGCTCGCACAAAGAAATTTTCTCCATGTTATTTCCCCCTGGAACAGGTAACTGATCGCGACTGCACTCAGTGATCGGCAACAATTGTTGGTGTTCAGGTGAACTGAAAAATAAAAAATGCACTAAGACCAGATACGGCAATAAGGGGAAGAAGACATACTTAGAAGTATAGAAGATGCATATGTTGTAGTTTATAGCTTCTCGAGTTCATTCCATACTAAATTGGATATTAAAATTGTTCAATTAGAGTTCATGCTGCACTAAAAGAAGCAATGTTGCTTCACATTATTCTTTTCGTAGAATAGATTTTGTCCTCATGCACCTACTTAATTTTGTAAATACATTTATTTATGCGAATATGCCGATTTCTAAGGTACTCATACCTTCCGTTATCAGGTGAATGTTTTTTATAGCTTTCCAACTCTGCTTCTGGTTTTAAGAAATACCTTGGAGCTTGGAAATTTGCGATCTGGTTATCAACAACAATTAAGGACATAGTAATACATACTCCACCTTATAAAACCACACCGAATCACATATTACCAAGAAAAAAAACACACCAAAGTTTTCAAGACTTACTTTTTTCAAAATTGGTTCAATCTTCTTTGCGGCATTAGGGATTCTATCTCCAACAGCTTTCTCTAAAGCCTAGAGAGAAATGGAGAGATTGGCGTTAATCATGGAGGTACACATATTGGATACAAAAATAGCCATATATCTGGTGTTTCATCAATGTATTACCTTCAAGCTCATTGGAGCCTCTTTTAGGATATCAACCAGCAGTGACTGCAAGTCAATTTCTTTACTAACATTGGTTGCTTCGCGCCCAGATGTGTCCCTTAATGCATTATTTTTCCAGGTTGATGGTTCTCTTTCAAGCATCTTCTCTCTGCCCTTTGTCTGGACTGGTGTGACATTCTCGTTAGCTGTATGAGTTTTAGCAATATTCCCAATCCCAAATGGAGGGGTATTAAATTGATTACTAGGAGAGGGTCCCGGTGAAGCTGATAGCCTATTTTTCACAGTAGGAGTAGAAGCCCCTGGTCTGAAAGAAGGCTTTGGACCTCCGACTGGAACTGTTACAGTACCACAAGTGAAAAACTGTAGTATTAAAAAAACACCAAGGGAATATAATAGCATCCAACAGTATTTGAAACCCTAATATGTTACCACAGGCTCGTTGCAAAGTTTTTTTTATGTCTACCTGGAGGTGGATCAACTTTCCGCTTCTTAGGTGGAGGTTCCTTCTTCTGTTTATTTGACATTCTCCATGGACTTCCTGAAAGCACAGAGTAGATTTTACAATATTATTGGTTATACCCAAAGATGATCACATGCTAGACAATAAAAGGTTTTGAACCCAAAAGAGAAGAAACCAGACCACGCAGTAAAATTAAGAGCATGGGTTTCAGTTTCAAACAAGAATGGCTATCTACACTCATGTCCTTAAACCACCGTGTTGAAAAGAAAAGGAGAAATGTTACCTTCAGCATGAGCTAACTGCTTCGTTAATGATGGATTCCCAGGATCTAAAACAATTGCCCTGACATAAGCAAAAGAATAAGGGTATTTCAGGCACAACCACTTTGATGAGACTAAAGTTATGGACACAAAACTATGCAATTTGTTACGCATAGTGAGAAATTTTCTGTGAGTCTGAGTTTCACAATACAACTCAATATACCCAAGTTGAAAAATATATGAGTAAGCTAAAAGAGAAACCCATTTAAGCCATAACTAACTCCAAATGTAAGTAGAGACTGACATCCACAGCAGCGTAGCTGCAATAAGATGAACAATGCGTATACCGATACTATGTTCACAGCTCCACCAAAGGTTATATGCTATTGTGCCAAGACTCATAAAAAGACTACCCTACCTATAGAAGACTACAAAACCAGAAAAACTAAGAGAGCAGTCACCTTTGCAGCTAAAGACTATGCAAATAAAAGTTATAGAAATTGAGATGCGACCAAAATGTTTGGTTAGAACTTGTACTTGCGTGATTTGGTTCTCTGTTCAGCTTCAACTGAGCGCATCTTCATATGGCTTGTGGTTGACTCATCTAGAGTTCGCTGGACGTTCAATTTTCGCCAAGCACATCCAGCCTCAATCAGCAAACCATTTCCATCTTCACCACTTTGATGTTCTTCATATATATCACATAAATCACCACGCTCCCTAGACCAATTAAATCTGAACTCCTTTCCACCAACATTAATTATCTGTTTATATCAAGATCAAAAACAGATTCACCATGTCAAAAATTCAAACGAATTAAATAAAAACCCAAAAGGACACCTGAAGGAGAGGCATAGTAACAACAAAACCATAGAAGCAGCAATTCAAGGAGTAAACCAACATACTATACAATATATGCTCAACCAATAAGGCAAGTCAATGTCTACCCAGAATAGACCAAGGAACTAATATGATACTAAGCAGCAATGGAAATCTTTGTCAACAATTCAACTCAATCTACACAAATCCTCTACTTCTGAATTTCAAAATTCAGTAGAAACTCACATTCCCAGTGCTATTGTTAGGATACGCATCGAACTTGATCTTCGCAGCTCCACCTTGTGCCTCCACACGCTTGATCTCCTCCACCAAATCAGGAGCTAACTTTATAATCATTCCAAAAGCCGAAGAACTCTCCCTCGGAACAAGATTAAACGTTTCCTCAACCGTCCGTGACGACACCGTAGTCGCCGCAGTCGCCTTACCGTTAGTAGAATTACTCCGCTGGCGTGGAGCGGCGGCTGAACCACCACCACCACCAGAAGACATCCTCCCGACGGGAGAAGGATGTCGGTTTGTAGGAGGAGGGAATGAATTACGGTTACGGGACGGTCCACCGCTACCACCACCGTTTCCCCCTCTACCGCCACGTTTCGACGATCCTTTGTACATAATTCCGGTCACAATTGCGCCGACGTCACTGCAATTTCGTAACAACCATGTATTGAGGCATATGTGTATTGTAGAGATTGAACTGATTGAGACGCGCGAGCAGAGAAGAGCGAAGAAAGACGATGATTAGAAGAGAGAGAGAGAGAGAGAGAGAGAGAGAGAGAGAGAGAGGGGCCCAAAGAGCGCTTCTGTTCTTCTTCTTCTTCTTCCTCTTCTTTTTTTTTCTTTTTAATTTTAATTTATTGTTTATGTTAGTAAAACGCCGTCGTATTAGGTTTTAGGTCTGATGTCTTTTCTGTAGCAAGAGGGTGATAAAAACCCGACCCGACTAAACCCGGCCCGGCCCACCCGGTTCGGGTATTGGCGTATTTATTAGAGACGAATTCAGAAGAAGAGGGCAAGTTTTTATTTATTTCGTTTGCCTTGTCTTCAAGAAATCAATCAATCTCGTTTCTCTTCGTCATCGAACAATGTTAACAGGTGAAATTTCTTCCATGTATTGTTCTTGTTGCGTTTCTGATATGATTTATTATGAGCTTGAATGGGAATGTAACTTTGGTGTGAATTGTGTTTTGATTATCTACAGTGAGCGTGAAGTGGCAAAAGAAGGTGTTTGAGAGTATCGAGGTCGATACTCTCCAGCCTCCTTATGTTTTCAAGGCTCAGTTGTATGATTTAAGTGGAGTACCGCCTGAGCGGCAAAAGATAATGGTCAAAGGTGGACTTTTGAAGGTTATTGGATTCACTTGCCTGCTGCGTTGTCTTTTTATTACTACTAATTTGTTTCTTGTTGATGATGATTTACGACATGTTTCTTTTAATTGTCGCAGGATGATGCAGATTGGTCTACGTTGGGACTCAAAAATGTAAATTCTTTTGGATTCGTTGGCAATGTTTCCCCTGTAGTGATTACGGTTTTATTAACTTTTCTTTATTTCTTCACTCTAGGGTCAAAAATTGATGATGATGGGAACTGCAGATGAAATACTCAAGGCTCCAGAGAATGGTCCTGTTTTTATGGAGGATCTTCCTGAGGAGGAACAAGCCGCTAATCTGGTGACTTTTTCCTCTGAATTTAAGAGCGTTTGTATGTTTCATTTGGTTTGGTAGTTGGTGATAAGTTGTATGGTGCTTGGACCCGAATCAGGGCACCTTAATGAGAGTCCAAGGGAAAAAGAAAAGCATAGTTTTCTTCTAGCAATTGTGAAAACTGGTGGCCTGTTTTAAGCTTTTAGAAATTTTGGTTTCATATGTATTAACGAATATTACAAATTGGTTTCAGGGTTACAGTGCTGGCCTAGTCAATCTTGGAAACACCTGCTACATGAACTCAACGATGCAGTGTTTAAAATCTGTCCCAGAGTTGAAATCTGAATTATCCAAGTGAGTCTATCTCTTAATCTTTTCTGTTTTAACGAAAAAACTCATAGATTATTCATTTTCGCTATCTCGTGTAACCAAAATCTGATTCTTGATCTTTTCACACAGTTACCAATCTGCTCGAACCAAGGATGTTGATCAGACTTCTCACATGCTCACAGTTGCAACACGTGAGTTATTTAGTGAGCTTGATAAAAGTGTCAAGGCTGTTGCGCCTATGCCATTCTGGATGGTTAGTTTTTGTTCACCTAATGCTTAATAATATTTGTGCTTCTTATAATTATTCTTGTTTGTTCTCATCGTTAGTTTCCAAATTTCTTATCATAAGATTTGGGAGTTTGAAGTTTTCTCTCGTACCAACTTTTGGTCTTGATGCAGGTGTTACAAAAAAAATATCCTCAGTTTGCTCAGTTGCATAACGGAAATCACATGCAACAGGTTTGCTGCTTTTGCCAACTTGGTTGCATTATGGCTTTAGCCTTCCAGTTTTTGAATCCAGAAACCTTGTAAACGTGTAACAGGATGCTGAAGAATGTTGGACACAAATGTTGTACACTCTTTCCCAGTCCCTAAAACCGCCATCGCCTACCGAAGATCCTGATGCTGTGAAGGCTCTTTTTGGTCTCAACCTTCGTAGCAGGTCACAACACAAATTTCATTCTAATGCTCTCTTGTATGCTAATTTTTTTTAGATCTTTCCTTTTTGATTTTGTATCTCCAATCTATTTATGTTGCTGTAGGTTGCATTGCCAAGAAAGTAGTGAAGAAAGCTCGGAGACAGAATCTGTCTTTTCTCTGAAATGTCACATATCACATGAGGTGAACCACTTGCATGAAGGATTAAAACATGTGAGTAATTTTATCAATCCACTGAAGATTTTGTTTAGTTTTTTTATGAGATATATCATGATCATGTGGAAGATCCTCTTAAGTTCTTACTCAGACATATATTTTTTCTCCTTGAGAAAAATAAGTCCCAAACTTATGGTGCATCATCTTGGACTCGGATTCTTGGTTTTTATTTTATCATACAACCTTGTAACTGTATGTAAATGTTTGATATTTGTCTTTGAATAGTGTGCATAGAAACTCTTGGCCAACTTTGTTAGATGTTCATTGTGGCGCTATATCTCAGATAATTCATATAAAGAGTTACAATTCTTATGGCTTGCTGTAGGGACTGAAAGGAGAACTTGAAAAAACATCTCCTGCTCTGGGTCGTACAGCGGTTTACATTAAGGAGTCTCTTATAGATTCGTTGCCAAGGTGATTAGTCTCTGCTTAATATTTGTGCCCTGTACTACACTTCTTGACTCCCTACAATCCTCTTGTTACAAGCTTTCCAACCAACATGTTTATTACTCAATGATACTTTTTAAAACCTTCTTTCCTCTGGCAAGAAGTTTCTTAATTTTTTCTTGCTTATCTTGAAGGTACCTGACTGTTCAGTTTGTGAGATTTTTCTGGAAACGGGAGAGTAATCAGAAAGCAAAAATTCTCCGGGTATGGTAGCTTTCTGTTTTGTATTATAAAGAGAACTTGGATGTATAACATTGTTATGATAGTCTCTACTTTGTTGATCTTTGAAGAAAGTGGATTATCCGTTGGAGTTGGATGTATATGACCTTTGTTCTGAGGATCTTCGAAAGAAACTGAAAGCTCCTCGGCAGGTATACAAAGCCATCTATTTGTGTAGTCTTATTATCTGAGGTGCCGAGGTGGTTGGCCAAAACAACTAACAGCTGTTTCTTTCAGAAACTGAGAGATATTGAAGGTCAAAAGCTTGGTCTGCAAGCCAGTGCAAAGAGCAGCTCAAAGGGCGATGATGTGAAAATGACTGATGCTGAGGTACGTAATATATCTGCTAACTAACACCCCTCATTACAATTTTTCTAAGATATGTGCGCTATATATCTCTCCAGGGATCATCAAACGGAAGTGGTGAGTTATCCTCCGGTGACCAACCTGGAGGTATATTTTCTAAGAACCAGTTCTCAACATCTTTCTTGTCTATAGCTTGGAATGCACTGTAATTGGTCTAATTGTTGGATTCAAAATTTGGTTATATGTAATGTGCAAAGTTTTCCCTATGTGAATATTTGAAATAAATAACAAATTTTAAAAATAGTAGAGAGATGGCTACTTGCAAATAAAGCCATAATCAATAGTAGTTAGCTTGAGAACCTGGATATTTGTCGCCATTAGCTAACAGATTCTCTGATGATTTTTGCCATGGATTCCTTTTCCCAATCAATCTAAGTATCTGGTTGCTATATTCTTACTCTTGACCTTTGCAACAGGTGCTTCGTCTCACATGACCGGAATTTATGACCTGGTCTCAGTTTTGACCCACAAAGGCAGAAGCGCAGACTCTGGGCATTATGTTTCATGGGTCAAGCAAGAGAGTGGTCAGTTCCATTAAAAACCCAACCAAATGACTTATTGTAACTCTAAAACCCCACACATTTGTCTCATATAAAACTTGGGAACTCATGTTTTACAGGTAAGTGGGTTCAATACGACGATGCTAACACGAGCCTTCAACGGGAAGAGGATATCACTAAACTCTCTGGAGGAGGTGATTGGCATATGGCATACATCGTAATGTACAAGGCCCGTCTCATCTCCATGTAATCTCTTCTCTTTTCATTATCTCAGTTCTTGAAACATTTAGATCGCTTAAGCTTTTTTTTGTATAGACCATCTTCATGCTCCTCTTTGTAGAAATTTCACATTATTTTTTGTTGTCGTCATTAAAATGTTATAAACCAGAAAACTAAAATAAAAGTTCTGTTTTGTCAAGGATCTTTTTAGAGGTCCCAATCTGGATATCGTGAATCCACCGATAGATATGGTATAAGTTTATAAAATCAAAGAGATCATAATAATAATAATAATAATAAGAAGAAAAAATCTGGATTTGATTGAGATGTCACATGTACAACAGTGAGATGAATAGTAGTCGTTTCAGTTGTAGTAATTTATCAATCACGGATCGAGGTCAACAAAGAACAGTTTAAAGATATCAACTTTTCATAAAAAAAATGTGTTTTTATTTGTCGAGGCTTCACATATGGATTAATCAAAACTAATTTATCTTGGTAATTTTCTGATTAATTTGTTAATACCAATCAAAAAAAAAAGTTGGAGAATAGGCAAAACATGAAATGAGCAAAACAGCCCCCACAAGACATGTGGAAATTGGTTATATGTAATAAGTAAGAAGAGTGGACCATTACCAAAAAAAGTCATCAAAGTTATGAAAACAGTGAGGCCATCACAAGAGGGAATTTCAGAGATGATTGCTTAACACAATTAGTTAAACACTGTCAATTCAACTTTAAACCAATATTGATTCTTCATTTCAATTTATTTCCTCTAATTAGTCTCTAAGAAGTGGACCATTATTAAAATTCGGTATCTTAGCGCTATCTAGTATCTCTAGCCACATGGACCACCATTTAATTTGCCAGCCACTTTTTCATTTTGACTTTTTTTTTTTTAATTAATTTGTTTACATGAAAATAATTTATATTCAAAACTTGATTTTCATAGTATGGGTAGAGTCATCTATATCCATTATTACATGTATGCACTAGACTAATATTTGAAATTCTCTATCCAAATACATTAAGTAAAAATAGAATTGGACTTTTCTCATTTGACATATACTTTTCTATCTATTTATTTAAAATAATTAACAACTTTCTATTTGATCAATTAAGTATATAATATTATTAGTCGGATGTGAAGCTTTGATTAATCAGGGCCTAAATATTTTAAACCTTAGAGTTTGATTTGACATGGTCCGCAAAACATGCCTTGGTGCATTTTGATCTCTTAGAGTTTGATTGGACATTGCATGCAAATCACGCCTTTGGTGCATTCCACTCACAATTTAAGAAAATCCAAAATTGTGAACCAAATTTTACGTCCAAAAAAAAGAAAGGCAAAGAAAATGAAAATAATTACAGAACAAAAAATGGATGCAACTTGTTGTTCTTTGTCTCCCCGGTGCAAAACAAGTATCTCAAATTGGAAGATCTAAATTATGTTACCACATTGGATCTCTCGTATATCTATCTTTCCATTTCTAAAACAATATTATCGAACCACTACAACCCAAAAGCTTTATGGTATATATGTTGAGGTTAACAAACTTAGTTTATAGTAATAAATAAGATCATGTCTATATAGATCAAACATATAACCAACAAGATGTCACAACATAATCAACCGATATGAGAAAAAATAACTAGTTTACATATATAAACATAGAATGTTGGTGTGATGTTTTCTCAGATGAAGAGTACTCGTGCGTAAACTTCAACTAATCGCTATTAGTTAGGGAATAACAATAACTTACACGTATATAAAGTTCTTAAGAATAAAGTCTAAAAGACTAAAGAATACAAAATATATACACGTATATAAGTTCTTAAGAATAAAACATACATCCAATAAATCTAGAACGATACAAATAGAAAAATGGATCCAAAACAAAGTATTAAATAGTAGTATATATGATGAAACTAGTTTGATCTTATATGTAATATAATTTTGTTGTTTTCTTAACGACTTATACTTTTGTCTTGTTTGTCTAAATAATTGACAATTAAACCTTTTCATCACTATATCAAATTATGACATAAACGCCATCGAACATTTAAACCTAAAGAAAAACGGACGACTACTAGTAGGGAGTCAAAATCATGGTTCTAGAACCTAGGGTTTAGAGTAATTCTATAATCAAAAAATACGAATGTCACATGCCTTAAGAATGTTGTTGATCTATGTCGGTTCATGCACAAATAATTTATCCTAATATACGATTATACGAACCTGCTCTGCGCAATATTTAAAAAGGTTTCCATATTAATATAGTTTTCAAACTTCCTATCGTCGGCGAAATACCTCACGGTTCGACTTTAAATAATACTAATATGGCCAAAAATTCCATTTTGCCACGTCATGATTTTTGTGGATGTGGAAATTAAGTAAATACAAAACAGTCTAATTAAAAATACTTTACTAGTCTTTTTCTAGTATTCTACTAACATTCTAAAAATACTTTTAAAGGAAAGAGATCATTTCATCAAATCAGAGTGCACAAAATAAAGTGAGAATCATTTTATATTACACAAAATTAAAATTAAAACAGACCCGATTTTATAAATAGATATTTTATATTAAAAAAAAAAGAAAAAAGAGTAGGAGGAATAATAATATTACCAAAATGACATAACCTGATCGGAACTGTTCATTGTCTACGTGATCACCCAAAATCAGTTTGCATAATTTACCAAAATACCCCTCTCTTCTTTGCTTCTTCAGTTTTTCTCCACTCTATTCATAGCGAGATCGGTCCACGGGTTATTATTATTAGTACCCGGTTCGGTCCTCCTCAAACCCAAACCCATACCCGGATGATCCCAACCCGACCCGTCAAGCATGATCCCTCCTCCAAGACCAAGCTGCATATTAGACGCCAACAACGAGCTAAAGCTTCCACCAATCTCCATACCTTTCACGTCATGGTCACCGATCGGAAACCCGTAAAGCATCCGGGTCGGATCTATATCCGGGTTTTGTGAATTACGTGGATCAGGATCCGGATCCGGGTTTTTCGTCTTCTTGTTTTGGCTACTGTTGGAAGAAGGAGAAGATGAAGAAGAAGAAGAAGTGGATCGTTTGGTTGCGTTCTTGCGAGAACCACCACCGACGGGGACGTTACGGAGAGCGCCGCCTTTAGTCCAGTAACGACGGCAGCTTTTGCAAAAGTGACGAGGCTGTGAGAGATTGTAGTTGTTGTAGTAACAGAATTTAGTGTTGGGTGAGTCACAACGAGGACACTTTAGCTGTTCTTGCTCTGCAAATTGTGGTTGTTGTTTCGCCATCATCGTCTGGTAATAAGCTGCTGGATCCTGCATTTTTCTTCGATCGTTCTTCAAAAATCTTCTCTTTTCTTCTTTCTATCAAATTCCCAAGAAAAAAGATCGAATCTTTGGGATAAAAGATTGAACTTTCCAAATGGGTAATTCGAAAAAACAGAATTTTTAGTGTCAGAGAAAGAGATTTTGATAGAGGAAATTGTGGTTCTTATCGCATAAATAAGACAAATTCAAGACTTTTTTTTTCTGTCTCTAGAATTGAGAGAGGAGAAGGAAGAAGAAGAAGAGAGTGTTGGGTTAAAGTCTAAACGACAAGACAAGCTTGTGAGCTGTGGTGTGTGACCAGTCTTATAGGGCAACCCAAATTTACAAAGATTAATGCTCTCCTACGTAATCTTCCTTCTTATCTATGCTAATTATTTACTATTAATTTGGTATTTAATTTTTAATTAGAAGACAAGAGAGTGGGGTTGAACTTTTTCATTCACTTGTTGACTTCTTTAACTAATACCATCATAGAGTTGTTTTGTTTGATGTCATTGTGTCCGAAAGATTATTTTTTAAAATATCGGAAGTATTTTTACTTTTATATGACTAATTAGAAGAATTGGAAGTATCCAAAAAAAAAACTCCAACTAATTTATCCCTGACAAAAAAAATACAAACTATTTTTTTCTTCCAATTTCCTCTCGTCTCCGTTACGGCCGTTAACGCCGCCGTTGACGCTGTTACTATTTTTAGAAAAATTCCTTAAAAATACCTAAGTTATTTAATTTTGCCAGCAAAATACCTGAATTATTTTTTTGTTGCCAGAAAAATACACAGATCAAGATTTTTCTCTTTTTCTTTTATTTCATTAACAATGTAAGGTGGTTAGACCTCATAACTTTATGTGTTCTCTTGAACCTCATACAAATTCTCACTACAATTATATTAATCGATTTTTCAATTTCCCAATTAGAACAAATCTCTCAATTACATTAGTTGATTCCCTAATTTTTTAACTAGAACAAAAAAAACACAATTAGATTAGTCTTTTTTTTTAGCGTTGAGTTGGTTTGATTAAGCTAAATTTACCTTCAATTTTGGTGGATTTTGCTTGATTGGAGTATTTTTTTTTGCGATTTATGTAGAGAATTTTTGAAGATCTACCAAGATTTTTGGGGCTCTTATGAAATTTAGTGTTCCATTGTTAATGATGTCCCAAAATTTGTAAAGTCTGAATAGATCCAAAAACAAATCTAATTTAAAAATTTGAAAATCGACTAATCTATTTGTATATTTTTGTTCTTAAATTTAATTGTCCTAAGTAATAGTGAAAAATGAAAAATTTTATGAGGTTCAAGATAACACATAAAAGTTATTAGCTCTCACCATCTTACATTGTTGATGGAAGACAAAAATAAAAGAAAAGGAAAATGTTGATCTATGTATTTTTCTGGCAACGAACAAATAATTCGGGTAGTTTTCTGGCAAACTTAAATAACTTGGGTTTTTTTTCAAGAATTTTCCCAAAAAATAGTAACGGCGTCAACAACGGCGTTAACGCCCGTAACGGAGATGAGAGGAAATTGGAAAAACAAAATAGTTCGTGTTTTTTTTGTCTGCGGTAAATTATTCGGGATTTTTTCTGGCAAATATTAAATAGTTGGAGTTTTTTTTTGGAATTTTCCCGTTAACAATTAGATTGTTAGCTTTTAGAAATCTAGAAAAAATCAAAGTTGTAAGCATTATATGAATGGTTAAAAAGATTGAATAAATCGAGGGTTTTAACTTTTTCCAACATATTTGGATACGCCTGTCTTTGTGCCAAGATGGTTTGTTTGGCTTCATTTGTTTAGACAAATATCGATTCTACGTATCTTTTTGTTTTCTATTTATTTGTACTTTACTTTACCCCGGAAACAAACACAATTACCTTTTTCTTTTCAAGAGCAAAAGTCTCCTCTAGCTAAGTTCTTTTTTTTTTGTGATCATTTTTATCTGCAGAAATTTGATCATTTTTGTCTTATGATTTAGACTATCTCATGGAGGTAATTAACAGTCTCTAGTAATGTCAAAGTGTTTTTTCTGTTAGAATCGGATATGATAGTCCAGAGGAGTTTCTCAAACCGAAATTCATAATCCACATGACTCGATAGCAATAAAGTTGTGCAAGCGGAGTTAAACCGAGGAAAGAGCGAGAGTACGTCTTACAACATTCTCACTATATATTTACTTTTAACTAACAAATAGTACTACATTTTATGCTAAAATGTTTGCTTATAATTAAGAGAATTCACATTTTAATTCTTAATAAACATGCCGACAAAAAAGAATTCTTAACTAAACCTAACCAAGAAGACGTCAAACAAAAGACAACCGAAACGTCAAAAAAGAGTTGTTCTCTCCCAAGTCCCGCCCACTTCCCATGAGTTTTCTTATCCATGCACAAGCCCTACACGTAGAAATCATAAAATAAAGAAAATTATAAGTAATTTATTATCTAATTTGCAGTAGATAAGCATCTAGTATAATTATTATAATTAGCTAGCTAAAAAAATATGAAAACAATTATAAAAAAAATGCAATGAGTCCATCATTTCAAAAACCCACTCTTGCTCAAGAATAAGTAGACAAATACTAGTTAGCGTTCTTGTGAAGCAAGTATGTATGTTTTGCACTCGATGAGATAGATCATTACACTCATAGTCATCAGAATATCGAATCGTAGCCGTTGAGATTTGAGAATGAATCAAAACCGTCCGTGTGTCAATAATGGAAATAGATTAAGGATATTGTCGTAGCGTTAAGCTGCCGTAAGAGCTGACCATTTCGCGTTCGTGTGTTCTGTTTCCCCCAACACGTGGGACTATCACTCCACTTCCCCTTTCTCATTCCCATCATCGCGTCTTTTCTACGGCTACGATTTGTGGCTGCGCTTCGACGCATGGACGGCTTTGATTTATTGTGGCCCCTTTCGAATATTTTCACAACCAAATCATGAGTAATGCTACGAGACACCAAATTAATAAGTCGCTATTTTTTCCCCCAAAATTTGTTAAGTTACGTAGCAAAGAGTTTTAGCTATAAATATAGCAATTTTTTATCGTCCTTGTTAACTAATTCGAAGCCTTTGATTGTTTCTGAGTGAATGATACATGAAACAATATAGGAGAAACGAGTTTTTTTACCCAAACTTAAACAAACAAAAACATGGAGATATATAATATAGTACTAATTTTAATCTTAAAATAGTTCCAAGAATATTCCAAAATAACAACTCTCACAAGTCACAAGTCACAAGTCATGTGAGAGAGAATGCTACAATCACGATTTTGCTTATAATCGGATTCTTCCCTTTTCTGGTTCTTGTCCAACATTTATCAGAACACAAGTAAAAGCTTCTAACAGAGAATCATTACCAGTCGTTGCTATTTCCTCCCCCGAAAAAAAAAAGAAGTCGTCAAGGATGATACAAAGAGAGCATAGTTTTTAGCTGTGATATGAAGATGCTGATGATGGATGTTATATAAGCATTCTCTGATCCTTCAGTTTCACAAGTGCCAAAGCTTCCTTCTCCATTTGAGTATTATGTTTGTTTTTTTCTTTAAGCATAGTACATGTACAAACTGTTCGCAGCAGCGCAAGCTATCGAGTTTTCTGTTGGATGCCATGCGAGATGCAGCAATTTGGTTGTATGGTCAAATGAATTACCATTCCCATCGACTCCGGGACTCTCTGCTGCTCCTGTTTTCCATTTTCTCAAAGTATTCATTTACCTATATACTCACTTGCCTTTAAAGGGCTTATGCTTAAGATACATGGAAGAAAAACACTGACCTCTTCTAACCACGCGTGTTATACTGCTTAGCGATCTTGATGGCCTCGAGGGAGTTGTGACTTGTCTCCTGTAAGTTAACAGACAAACTTTGGGTCCTCCTGTTGATATAGAATTTATGAAAAATGAAAGAAAAGATTGTCGTCACTAGCACCAGTTTGTTACCTCATTGGATTTTTGCTTGCTTCCAAGGTTGTACTTTCAGTACTTCCCGGGGAAACACCAAACACACGGAAGAGATTGCTAGAAAAAAATTTAAAGTAAGTTTATTCCAAAAGAATTGAAGAGAATGTTTAACAGTGAAATTTAAGAAGATGATGTTCGTTGCAATACCTGTAAGAACCTGTAGACACTCGCAATCCGTCCCCACTTAGACAACACTCGAACTTATCGAAGATGGAATCATTTTCATATAAATCACAGAGCTGTAAATGGTCATAAAATGGTAGCCATCAGTTATGCACGAGAATGTTGATGCAAATCTCTCAAAGTACAGAAAACTGACCTTTGGTCTTAAATGTTCATGAACCTGGAAAGTTGATACTGGACCTGAGTCCATGTTAATGTCCCATAACTGAAATGTAAAACATAACCATGAGTCCAGTTTTCCTTATACAGCCAGTTTGAAACCAACTACTAATAACTTCAAGGCCATGGCATAACCAATGCCAATATAACAGAAGTTCCCAAATGCAACTCTCTAAATTTAATGAGACAGAATGCAAAATGGAAATTTTGAAAAACTATGGACCTTAAGTGTCATGTAGTCACGGCTAAGTATATATCTTCCTTCTTTCGCAAATTTGATGTCTGAAATTGAAGCAATTATCTCCGTAAAAAATGATCTAGAACTTGGTGTCTCTGTGTCCTCAAACCTGCACATAACAAGCAATTAGACCTACTTTGTTGCAACAAGTCATAAAACGCTACAAGAAAATTTGGTTTCTTTTGTGTTTGCCATGCAACTATGGTATCCTCATCATCAGTGGAATAGAGACAGTGATCCCTAGCATGAATATCTTAGTCAAATGTTGCTTGCTAGTTATGAAACAGCAATCCCTTTATCCTAAAAATGTTACTTCAGACATGATTCCCAAAGTAATTGAAACATTGCTATCCAGATGATACACCTTGTACCTATTGTGTTAGCACGAGGGATGTTAACAATCACATTCTCATGGAGTAACTCAGATATTATACAAAACTGGATCCTCCTTTCTATAAATTGCATTACTGAGAACCTTTAGTTGGTCTACAGTCTCAAGACTTACAATTTGGAATGTGAGTCACATAAAGCTGATTGTCGCAGATCAATCAGGCGAATTGAGCCTTTCGAACTGCTATAGGCTAACATATTGCAATGGGTAGGATGAAATTCGGCTGATGTTATAACCTCTGCAACAACAAACAGGATAAATATTGCAGCTCGAATTAACTCCCCTCAGCACAGACTTTTTACTTAAAAAGAAAATCAAGAAGCATGCAGGAAGCAAAATGACAAGAAGAATGCACTTAAATATAAACG